TTCATACCCGGGGTCGTGGTGGGCGTACAGGAAGTCGACCTGTTCAACCACCTGAAGCTGAACCGTCTTCATCAACTCCATCGATTCGCGCCCCTGTCGATAGTGGAAGTACACCTGCCGGTACACCTGCCGGTACACCTGCCGGTACACCTGCCGAGACTCCTACCGAGACTCCTTCTATTGACACGGGCGCTCCTGATTCAGAGACAGCTACATGAGACATTTTTTATTGCGAGAAATGGTTGAAGACGGTGGGTAAAGCTTCTTGTTGGAAGGTGTTTAAGAAGTTGATAGTTAACAGCTACCCGATGGGAGAGTGCATACACTGTCATACTCTAATCAAAGCTCATCCTCACAAAAATGGGACCACTGCAATGAATAACCACATGCGCTCCTGTTTGGCTAAGGTGGAAGCAAATAAAAATCAGACAGTATTGCAGACATCAGAAGGTGGTCAAGTAAGTGGTTTATGGAAGTTTGATCAGGGAAAAGCTAGATATGCATTAGCCAGTATGATCATTATGAATGAATTGTCATTTCGCTTTGTGGAGAGAGAAGGGTTTAAGCAATTCATGTCCCAAGTTCAGCCACTGTTTAGGATACCCGGGAGGAAAGCTATAAGAGATGACTGCTTTCATATCATTATGGATAAAAAGATGGATTTAATTGATTTTTTTGAATCAAGGGGTCAAGGAAGAGTTTCAATCACTACGGATACATGGACTTCTTATAACAACAAGAATTTCATGTGTGTTACTGCTCACTTTGTTGGAAGTGATTGGAAATTGCAGAAGAAGGTGATATCCTTTGTTCCCATCACAAGTCATACTGGAGTTGATATTGCAGAGAAGCTTGCAGAAGTTCTTGAAGAGTGGAAGGTGAAGAATCTGTTCTGCATGACCATGGACAATGCAACTTCAAATGATGTTGTCAGTGAGTGCATGATAATGAAGCTAAAGGAGCGGGGGTGTGAAATTGAATGTTTTTGTATACAAAATTAAGATTAGATGTATAATACGCAATAAAAAAATTATAGAATGTGATTAATATGATTCTTACATTAGATGTATAGTATGTAAATAATAGAGAATGCTAAATTTTGTCGTGTTAAATGTTGGATTTTGCTTAGGAGAATATAGAGAATGCTAAATTATTTGTGATAATTATTAAATTAAATGTAGTCGTTAGATTTTCTATTATTGTGGAGTCCTACTTATATCATGAGATCTAACATTGTAGGATAATGATGATTACGGAGGGGATGGCAAAGATTACACCTCAGAATTCGTCAATGGAGTAAAATACGATACAGATTTGATTGCATATGCAGCAGCAGCTACTGAGATTGCCAAGGGATTTGGGTTTTATTTGGTGAAGGCATCAAATAAAAAAAATCCAAATGAAGATAGTATGCGACGATACTTGAAGTGCACTCATGGTAGGAAGAAAAATTTGAAGGCTCCTGATTCTGATCCGGCTAAGGAAAGGAGGCCTCTTACTTCTTCTGGAAAGTTGGGGTGTGAATTTCAGATCAAGATTGAGCGGTCAGATGATGGATATTGGTTGATACTAGCAGTGGCTAATAGAAAGAATCCTGGTGCTAATTTGGGTTTTCACAATCATCCGCTGGAGCTATTTCCGAATGGATCAAGTAAGAGACACGTTTTGACCGAAGATGATAAGCAATACATCAGACAACTGAGATTAGCCGGTGTCGCCCCAAGGAATATCCACAAGGCAGTGAACGAGAGAAAAGGGGAGCATGGAAAGGTGAACAAAAGACAGATTTCTAACGCATTGTATAAGATAAGAAAAGAAGAGCTTGGTCAGAGGACGGCCTTACAGTACACTTTTCAAGATGCTCGGGAGAAGGGTTACTATGTGCAGTATGTGGATGACCGTAACGTGTTTACACACTTGTTCCTAGCCCACCCTGAGTCAATATTGATGTTGCGAGCTTGGCACCATGTCATTGTGATAGATGCAACATACAAGACCAACAAGTATGAGTTTCCATGGGTTGAGATTGTTGGCATGCCACCGGTGGGATTGAACTTTGTCATTGCATCTGCGCTAGTGTATGACGAGACAAAAGAGTCGTACCAGTGGCTTCTCACGCATCTGCAACATTTGCTTGGCCCTATCACTCCAGATGTATTTGTTAGTGACAAAGCAGGAGGATTGGTTGAGACCGTGGGGGTAATGTTTCCATCATCGACTCATATACTATGCCTTTGGCATGTAGACAGGAATGTAAGAGCACGGTGTCTAACGGAGGTGAGGAGGACGTCTCATTGTGGGATAGATGCAGCCCAACCGACAGTGGATCTGATCATGGCGTCTTGGAAAAGGATTGTATATGCCGGCAGTGAGGAAGGCATGAATAGAGCTTTAGACAGTTTCAGGCGTAGTTGGGGAGTACAGTATCCACGTCTTTGGAGGTACTTGTCAGATGAGTGGTTACCAAACAAGCACATGTGGGCAACATGTTATACAAACCAAGTGCGACATTTGGGTAATACAAGCTCAAATCGGGTTGAATATGCTCATTCATCCTTCAAGAAGTTGCTTCAATCAGCAACTGGTGCAATCGACACGGTTAGTCTCTTAATAAATTTTCATTTATGTCTTCTTTAGAAGTTTTACTTAATCTAGTATCCTAATTTTCTTTCTTTGTTTGTAGGTTTATAAGAAGAATCATGATTACATTGAGGCTCAACATCTTCAAATCCAAAAGCTTCTAGAGGATTCTAGATTACAGAAGATGTTACTAGCTGACGGAAGACCATTTCGGGAGTTGCATACAAACGTCACTCTACAGGCTATGAGGTTGATGCTCATTGAGGTATCAGTGGAAGGAGCAAGTTGTACATGTACGTTTCCTTCTACCTTTGGTCTCCCATGTAGATGTGCAATGCAGTTAGCACGTTCTGAAAAGAGGGACATTGCCCCATCTGAGGTGTTAGCTTTTTGGACCATTATGAACTATCGTGAACCTCCTACTCGGGCAGAGTGGGATGACGATAGTCTTTACCATCGTGATGTCTTCCAAGGTCTAGTACAGGAGGTTCTTGATAGGGGAGATGAGACCATTCGAGGGGCTATTGGTCTACTTCGGAGTCATCTTCATCCTGAAAAATGATGGCATTGATGAGCCGCATGGGGGGCAGCCCCGACCCGGTCGCCCGAGGACATCCACCACGCGAAACCTTTCTCACTTCGAGCATGTGGAGAGGAGACGGGGGAGGAGAAGTTCGATACCTTCGACCACAACACCGGACAATGACCAGAGGACATGTAGGTTGTACTTTTTTGGGAAATTTATGTGCAATTGTGTAGAATATGATGTATAACTAACTTATTTTTGTAAATGATATTAGGTGGTATCCCTGATGCACACACCAACTTCGAGTCCACAAATACGAATGGGACGGAGCCGGATACTCATAATGATACAGGTTAGAAGTAGTGTCCCTATTTTAGATGATTAGATGTTGTATACCTCTTGTATTAATTCATTGTGTTGTGTATTTTGGGACAGATGGTGCCCCTTGGAGGGTTATCAGAACTCCCAATACTGGTTGGCGGAGTTACCCGTGGTTGTATTGTTTGGCGGAGTTACCACTTCGACTTCCACTTACCACCAACAGGACCATCCACCGGGACCCGAACTAGATCATGCATGTCTAACTTAAGAACATCTGGATGCGGATCATCTCTCATCAGCTCCCCCTCAACTGGAATACGAAGAATGTGATGCACGTCGTGGAGAAGAATCGACATCTCTCCAAATGGCATATGGGAGGTGTTCGTGTCCGGCTGCCATCTCTCCACAAATGCCGTTATCAAAGCTGTATCTAAATGCTGCATCATACACCCTGCCAAGTGGGACAATCCTGTGCCCTCAACCACCTTCTAAGAACCCTCTGAACTCCACTCATATCTCCTCAAAAAATCCACACTACCAGATCTATGACAACAATCCAACAACCCACGATCCTGTGCTAGAGAAGTCCACAGTGCAAAGGCAATGTGACCTCCAAAGCTAGGGATCACATCGGGAATCACAGGTCCACCTGAACACATCTGAGACTCCGATGTCAGACGCCACGACATGTCCCCCCTTACTCCCTTCTTCCTCTTCTTACCATCACCGTCTTCCTCACTACTACGTCTCGCAACGTAGCGTCCATCTAGCCCACGCTGTGGAAAATGCGAAGAAGCTGTAGAAGATGTCCCAACTCGTCTCTTCTTACCGATGCCTACATCAGATTCAGGTGGGGCATCCCCAACCTCATCAACAGCCACATCATCATCATCATCATCATCATCATCATCGTCGTCGTCGTCGTCCATAGAAACTGAATCACTCCAATTAGCCTCCCACGGCGTCGCATCCTCAGGAGTAGGGGTGGAGGTAGTACCTCGACTAAGAGATAACTGTCCCATAGTAGGGCGACCGTCGGGACGCCCTATTTCCGCCTTCTTCTTCTTCCCCTTAACCTTACGTGGATTTTTTTCTTCATTTTCTTTTCTACCGGTCGCTGTAAGTCTACAAGCACGACCTTCCATTCTTCCTTCCGTTTTTTCTTCCATTCTTTTCTTATTCATGTACGGTTTGCCTATTCCATGTCCAGACATCTTCAAAAAAAAAAAAAGATTTACAATTAATGATAATCAAATGCATTAATATTTTCTGATAATTTTCTCTAATTTTTTTGTAATTTTTTGATAATTTATTAACATAATTACAACTTTCTTAGTGATTTCTTCTAATTTCGGCTACTTTTTAATTTTTCTATTATTTCTAATATTTTTTTAAATTAATTAAAAATTTACAGATTATATTTCTGAATTTTAATACTTTTTAAAATTTTCAAATAATTTTAAATAATTTTTTATACATTATTCACAATATTTTTTTCATAATTGAATTCATAAAACTATTCGAATATAATTTTTATAATTAATTATAAATTGTACAACTTATTTATAATTAACTACAATTTATTTCTAATGATTATTTCTTAATTTAGAATATTTAATAAATTTTTTTATTAATTAATTGCATTAAAATTATTTAAATATCAAACCAACCGAAAATTGACCAAGGGTTGACCATGGCTCAACCGAAAGTTGACTTTGGTTTGACCATGGCAAAACCGAAAACTGACTTCGGTTTGACCGAAGGCCAACCGAACGTTCACCTCGGTTTGACCGAGGGCCAACCGAACGGCGGCTTCGGTCGTCGAAGGTAGGGGAGACTGACCTTCTCCGGCGAGGATTGACGGTGATTGCTGGCGCTGTGGGCGAAGACGGCGACTGCTGGCGCTGTTGGCAACGAAGGCGATTGCTGGCGCGGTTGGCGACGACGCTGCGGGCTGGCGGCGAGTGGGGTGCGGCGCGACGACTGCGGACTGACGGCGCGTGACTCCGACTCCGGCGGCGTGGGTTGCGGCGGTGGACGACGCTGCGGACTGACGCGACTCCGACTCCGGCGGCGTGGGTTGCAGCGGCGGACGACTCCGGCGAGGTGGGTTGCGGCGACTGCTCTGCTTGTTTAGGGTTTGTCGGGGGGAGAGTTGTCTGTCGGGGGAGAGGAAGTGGGGGAAGGGGTTGTTTGTTTAGGGTTTGTTTTTGAATTTTAGAAAGGGTAATTCAGTAATTTACGTATTAAGTTAGGACGACAGTTAGTAATTCTTAGGACGACCTTTAACCCTTTAGTTATTTTTTCCTCAAATTTCAGATCACTCTAATGAAAAAGACAAAGCTTTGCCTCCCTTGACGTTTTGTTTCGTCCAGCGTTATTTACAATATTATTATTTGATGGCATCGCTTTTATAATTCAACTGAATACTAAAAAGGAAACCAAGTGGCACAACATGTTAAACCTAAAAGTTAAAACTCAAGATCTCAGGGGAAGAAAGAAGATAATGGTGGACAACCACTCCACTCCATTTCCACTTTCAGCAAAAATATTGAGCAATAGAAAATTATTAATTTCCTTTTGTAGTTACTGTTTATTCACCCACGCTTTTCCCGAACATTTTCCCTTTTTGTTTTAAATCGCCGACTGGTTTTTCACCAAGAGTGGCTCTGTGGCTGATGGGGGCCGCTTGCCAAACTGGGGAAGTGTTTCTGTTTTTTTTGGATTTTTTAATTTGCAAATTTTCCAGAAAGAAGAAGTAGAGAGAGACAGCAGAGACGTATTGATTCCACTAACCAAAATCGTGTGGCCGTGGTTAGTCCAGAAATAAAGAAATCAAAATTCGTGTGGCCGTCGTCAAGAGCTCCCCCCACAGCCATGGCCCGCACTCTCACCTTTCCTTTTCCTTCCTCTTCCCTTCCCTTCCAGAAAATTTTCTCGCTTCGAAAGTCGAAAGCGGCTTCAGTTTCATCCAAAAAATCGTTCCATCTACCAGCTGCCAATAAACCCTCCGCCTTCTCCCGCCGCGGCCGCGCAAATCAAACTTCCCCGCCGATTTCCTTCTCATCTTGCAGCGGAGATCTGAAGCTCAGTTCAACTGTGCTTTTAATGGCGTTGACGGAGCGGAGAACTGAAGAGGATTTGTAGAGGAAGAGATTTTGAAGATAGAAGGCACTAGCAAAGGGAAGAGGAAGAAGCCGAAATAGTACACACTCAGCAGAGGGAGAACTAAAAAAAAAAAATGCGGACGCTCTGTGACGTTTGCGAAAACGCCGCCGCCATCCTCTTCTGCGCCGCCGACGAGGCTGCTCTCTGCCGCGCCTGCGATGATAAGGTTTGATTTCACTCGTACGATTAAGGAGTTCAGATGATGATGTTAATAATAACAATAACAATACGCAGAAGTTCCGATCTCGGTCGAATCACGGGAATCGTATTCGTAGTTGAATTTGTCTTTCAACTTTTCCGGCCGGCCGAAGATTTGTGTAATTGGAAATTCAATTATTATTTTTAGATGAAGGCGATAAAGCTCTATTAATAGTATATAAGCATGTTCTGTGGCGTAGCGGCAACAGAGATTTGTATGCGATTTGCTTGGCCGAGTTTCTAGCTTAGAGTTAGTTGTGATGGCGACGGGTCTTCTGTGGTCCGTTTGCTTGCAGGTTCATTTGTGTAACAAGCTAGCTAGTCGGCATGTGCGTGTTGGGCTAGCTGTTCCGAACGCGGTTCCTCGTTGCGACATTTGTGAGAATGAACCTGGTATGTGACGTATTGAGTGAGTAACGAGATGCTTATTCTTGCAACGCCATGGTGCTGTGCTGTGGTTGATTCACTTTCAAACTTAACCTGTACAAACATTCATTGTAGCGTTCTTTTATTGCGAGGTTGATGGTACATCGCTCTGCCTGCAATGCGACATGTCTGTGCACGTTGGTGGCAAGAGGACGCACGGGAGATATCTCTTACTGAGGCAGAGGGTGGAGGTTTGTGTCTCTCCCCTGTATTGAAGCTTGCAGCATAAGTAAGAAGTTTTTTCTGAGAAAATTAACATGGCTTTGTGCTGTTTCATTTTCGTGTTGTTTTAGTTTCCAGGTGACAAACCTGGCCATGTGGAGGATGATGTTATGAGGGATCAAATGCCGCCACCTAAATTTATGAAGCCAGTAACTCAGCAAGATCGTAGGGTTTCTCCGGCTCCGGTGGCAGAGAACAACAATTCGGTTGGCAGGAATGGAACAATGGAAAATAATTTGTTTGACCTTAATTCCAGCCCTCGAAGAACTAATGGGAAAGATCCAACTAACCAGGTACTCACTTTCTAAAAAAATTATTCTTATCGTAGTGTTAGGGTCTGTGCTGCATGATAAACATCACGGCCAGTTTCAAAGCAGTAGCTTATTAGTCGTTAACCAAATTATGTGGGATTCTCTTTGTATCAACGGTACAGGGAGGTAATGTAGCGAATGGTACAAACTGAAGAGTCTGCTAATGTTGTGGTTCTAGGACCCTTCAAAAGAGAGCATGCAAAAAGTAAAGCAAGGTAAGGCTACAGCTCTTTGCTTTGGCTTTAAGCTTGTAATGAGATATCTTTCATGCAAAGTGTTGTGTGGTTCTGAACTAGAGACATTTTCGCCTAACTACGAACATTTCAAATTAGTAGCAGCAGCAGGCGACATTCTAAGCCACTATATTGTTTGGCATGAGAGGAAGAAGCAGATAGGGTTGAATGCATATATGATCTCTTGCTTTGTTGAGGATGAACTCTAAATTCTTGATTTTTGGATACAGATGACTCTCATGGTGCCCAGTTGTGAAGACTCCAATAGCTCGAAACTCGGCCTTTCTCACCATTATCATCTAGGATAGATGGTTAGTACACTACTACTGCCTACGGTTGGTTAGGAGGGAATCTGAGATTTTTTCCTTTATTTTTTTTTTTTGTCTGTGTAAAGCAAAATGCAGCTTTTGTTTTGAACCAAGTACATGGAACTCGTTCAATAGGGCGGTTCCGATGCTAGTTAATGGTTAACATTAATACAAAACCACATGCTGTTTGATGTAAGGATCTCAATAATCTGTTTAATTACTTCATCTGCACAGAAACTGCCGCAAAATAGGCCATCAACGCCTGAATTAGCTTCCCTAATCCTCCTCTTTGAAGGGTTGGGTTGGGGCCAGAATTAGTCTGTAGGTGTAAAACGATCTATTAGTAAAAAGGGGGTCGCCTCTACTTCAGCCTTCTTCAGTCGCTTTCTCCCTTCAGGGGAAGGTAGAAAGCTAAAGGTCCCCAACCCCAAGTCGAAATCAAGATCTACCTGAAACGTAAAACAGTGCACGGACAAGCATTCAAGTTGACGGATGATCTTACCTTTTACACAGAGCACGTACATCTGCAGCAATCGGCGGACTCCTCATGAACAGAGCATCACACCTCCCACATGGCAATCCTTGAACCTATGGAACTCCTGCCACTCCAACAACAGCTTAGAGAACCCTTCCTTCCTCTTGGTGAGCTCGAGCACAACAGTCAAATCGACGAGCTCTCCGAGCTTGTCCAAGAAATCACCTTTGTAGTAATGGAGGACTTTTCTGGTCATCTGACATTAACAAGGAACAAGGATGAATGGATGAAAACTTAGATCTGTCTTTCTCATTGATCAGATTCGCCTTTTATAGGCTGAGAAACATACATGAAGACAAGCTCCATTGAAGCTGTCTGGTTGCTTGGAAAGGGAAATAACTCTGTCTTGGCGAAAAAGAAAACATGGCTTAAACAAGTAAAACAGATACGACAGCGTTCTAGCTTGTCTCAACTAAAGGGTTGGAGAAAACGGCAGCACTTCATTTGACGAGAAGAAGACCGAGGACGAAACGGCAGCGCAGCAAGGATTCCCGTCATGGATCGAAACGTCGTCGGACGGAGAGAAGACCGTTGGAATCGAATTTCATTCTGTTACCCTGTTACCCCCCCCCCCCCCCCCCCCCCCCCCCCCCCCCCCGGCAAGCTGGTGGGCACAAATTTCGCACACCAAGCTTGGAGAGCAGAGATAGAAACGGAGCAGGTGACAGCGGTTTGGTGAACAGATAAGCTAATTGATGGCTGGAGGAGATGTGTAGGAGCTTCAGCGATCCCAATTGCAGCTTTTCTCGCACAAAATGGCAATCAAGTTCTATATGCTTTGTTCTTTTATGGAAGGTGGGATTCTTGGCAATATGAATGGCGCTTTGATTGTCACAGTACATGGTAGCTGGAGTTGAAGGAGAAACCTGGAAATCCTGGAGAAGATATTGCAACCACTGAATCTCACAGGCGGTGAAAGCCAGAGCACGATATTCTGCTTCACATAAAGATCTGGAAACGGTATGCTGCTTTTTGCTTTTCCAAGAGATTAGGGAATCGCCCAGGTAGATACAGAACCCTGTTGTTGATCTTCTCGTGTCAACACATGCTGCCCAGTCAGAATCTGTAAATGCTTTGAGTTGGAAAGATCCTTGTGATGGAAAGAAAAGACCTGTGGCTGGGGCTGTTTTGAGATACCTCAGCACACGTTGAGCAGCCTTGAAGTGGGTGACACTGGGACTTGACATGTATTGGCTTAACTGTTGTGTGGCGAAGCTAATGTCTGGTCGGGTAGTGGTGAGGTAGATTAGCTTCCCAACAATAGTTCTGTAATGCTCAGGGTCTTCAAAAGGAGTGTCCACTTCATTGGTTAGATGCAGTTTGTAGTCCATAGGAGTGGTCACTGATTTTGAATGTATAACATTAGCTTCTTCCAGTATTTCTAGTGTGTATTTCCTTTGTGATAAATGTATGCCAGCTTTGCTCCTTGCCACTTCAATTCCAAGGAAATATCTGAGATTGCCAAGGTCTTTAATGCTGAACTCAGAATGTAGAACATCTTTCAATGCTTGAATCTCTGCCATATCATTTCCACCCAAAACCAGGTCATCAACATATATAAGAATGCAGGTGTATGAAGTATCAGTGACCTTGAAAAAGAGAGAGTGGTCTGCTTTGCTTTGCACATAACCAAACTGTTGTAACTTGTCAGTTAGCTTAGAGAACCATTGCCTGGATGCCTGTTTTAGGCCATATAATGATTTCCTTAGTCTGCAAACTGGATTTGGAATGTCAGGAGGAGGTGTGAAACCTTTAGGGAGGGTCATGTAGACTTCCTCTTCTAAATCACCATTCAGAAATGCATTATCTACATCCAATTGATGGATGTGCCAGTTTCTGAGAGCAGCAATGGCCAGAAATGTTCTGACAGTAGTCATCTTGATGACAGGTGCAAATGTATCCTGGAAATCAATTCCTTCTTGTTGAGTGTTCCCTTTTGCAACTAACCTGGCTTTATGTCTTTCAAGAGAGCCATCAGACAAGAACTTATCTTTGTAAATCCACTTGTTTCCAACTGGTTTCTTGCCTTGTGGTAGTGAAACAACATCCCAGGTGTGGTTTTTGATTAGAGCTTGTATTTCAGTTTGCATTGCTTGATTCCAAACATCAAGCTGTGATGCCTCTTTGTAAGACTGTGGTTCTTGATGACTAGAAATGTTGAACATGAATCTTTTGAATGGGCCAGAAATATTGTTGTATGAAATCATGGAAGATAGGGAATACCTGGTGTCTTGAATCTGTTGCAGGTAGGGGTGATTGGAGTTGCTAGGACCTTGAGCTAGATAACAGATGTAGTTTTGAATTAGATGGGCAGGAGGTTTAATTGTCCTGTCAGATCTTCTGAGATTTGGTTGAGGGGGAGGAGTGGGAGGTTCTGAAGAAGCAGAGGATGTGGGAGAAATTATAGAAGGAGGGGAATTTGGGGGAGAGTTGAGTGGAGAAGGTGTTGGAGAAGAGATAGGAAGGGGGGAAGGTAAGTTGCTGGGGATGGAATCTGGGTCATGAAGAAGAGTGGAGCCTGGGGAAGGGATTGGGAACAAGAGATCTGGGAGGGAAGTTGAGTCTGATGGTTGATCAGACTCATTTTGGTTGAATGGAAAATGTGATTCATAGAAAATCACATCTCTTGAGGTGAAAACTTCATGAGAGACTAGATCATATAGTCTATTGCCTTTGATTCCAGGGCTGTAGCCTATGAAAATTGATTTTCTAGCTCTAGGTTGAAACTTGGTTCTATGATTTGCAAGAGTGGAAGCATAGCAAAGGCAACCAAAGACTCTTAGCTCAGTTAACTGGAGGTTTGTTGTGGAGGGTTTGAAATGGAGTTTGGTTGGCTAGGACTGATGTGGGAACTCTATTAATGAGATGGACAGCGTGTTTGACACAATCTGCCCAAAATGCTGGTGGTAGATGAGCTTGGAATTGAAGGGCCCTAGCAACAGCAAGTATATGTTGATGTTTTCTTTCAACCTTGCTGTTTTGCTGAGGTGTTTCAACACAGGACATTTCATGAGTAATGCCTGTTGATGTGAAAAAATCAGTCATGTGGAACTCTTGGCCCTGATCAGACCTGATGGTTTTGATTTGGTTTTGAAATTTTCTTTGCATTTGTGTGCAGAAGGCTATGAGTTTAGGTCTGGCTTCAGATTTTAGATGGAGTAGAATGATCCAAGTCATTCTAGAGAAGTCATCCACAATGGTAAGAAAATATTTGTAACCATCATATGAAGGAACTGAATTAGGACCCCAAATATCGACATGGAGTAGTTCAAAAGGGTACTGAGTTACAGACTGGCTTACAGGAAAAGAAAGACGTTTTTGTTTAGCAAAATGACAAACATCACAGGGTTGATCTTTCTGTGTTGTAATGGAGGTACAAAATTGGTTGAGAATGATAATTTTAGAGTGGGATACATATCCTAGTCTAAAATGCCATAGATCAAAAGGGGTTGTGGATGCAGCAGTGATCAACTTAGGGGTGTTTGTTGCTTGAAGGTAATAGAGGCCATTGTGAAGGCTAGCAGAACCAATCACCTTCTTCTGCTCCAGATCCTGTATGAGACACATGGTAGATTGAAATGATAAGCTTAGTTTGGTAGTGGAAGTGAGTCTGCTCACAGAAAGTAGGTTGAAGGAAAAATGGGGCACAAACAGGGCATTTTGGAGAATGATATCATCAGTGCATTTTGCTGTGCCAGAATGTGTTGCTTGGACTTTTGTGCCAGTGGGAAGGGTTATGTAGATGTTGGTCAAGGGCTGTGGATCTTGTAGGTAAGATAAGGAGCATACAATGTGGTCTGATGCTCCTGTGTCAACTATCCACATTGTTGTGTTTGAAGAGAAAGCAGTAAAGATAGGTGTGGGAAGAATACCTTTGTTGGTGACAAAGGCAGCAGCAGAGAAAGAAGTGGAAGGCTGTGATGCATTCATCAGGCGCATGAGCTTGTCATAATCAGCTCGAGTAAGCTTGACTTCATCAGGTGGTGTGGTAGTGACAATGGAATTGGCAGAAGGTCTTCCTCGACCAGCAATAGAGTTAGGATTCCTTGGCACAAAGTTGGCAGGGTATCCATTCTTTTGGAAGCATTTGTCTTCAGAGTGACCTCTTCTTTTGCAGTAGGAGCAAGTGATAGGGGTGCCAGGAGTTGTTGAGGATGGTTTTGTCATGCCAGGAGGCCAACCATGTTTTTGAAAACATATATCTTCAGTGTGCCCTTCTCTCCTGCAGAAAGTACAGTATGGAGGTTTGGAACTGGTATTGAGTCTTCTGTTTCCCCCTTGAAAGGCCATTGCTGAAGGATCAGTTTGTGTAGAGGCTATGAGCTTTCCAGATTGAGTACCATATAACTGTCTTTCATGCTGAAGCATTCTTTGAAAGACCCTGTTAATGTTAGGGAGTTCATCTCCAAAAAGCACTTGTGCTCTAACACCAGAGAAGTTCTCATTGAGACCTCTGAGAAATTTAATCACATAACTGGTTTCTTGGTACTGGAGAACAGTGAGCATTGCAACACAAGTATTGTGACTGGTAGGAGTACATGAACATGGGAGAAGAGGTTGGTAGTTCTCTAGTTCATCCTTCAGGGTAATCATCCTACCATAATATTCAGTCACAGTCTGGTTACCTTGTTGCAGGGAAGACAAAGCCTCTTCAAGTTCTGCAATCCTGATCAAATCTCCAGATCCATATCTTGTTTGGAGACTTTTCCAGGCTTCTGCTGCTGTTTTGCTGGAGAGGATAGTTTTGCGGATTTCTGAAGAGGTTGACTGCTGGATCCAACTAAGGATCATGACATTGTTGCGAGTCCATGCTCCATGCCTTGCATCAGTGGTTGGTGGTTCAGGTATTGTACCATTGATGAATCCCAGCTTGTTTTTTGCAGCAAGAGCATTGAGCATGGCACGGCTCCAATCATTGTAGTTTGTTGGTGAGAGTTTTTCAGCAACAAGTAGAGATCCAGGTTGCTCAAAACCATGGAGAAAGAAGGGGTCAGAGGCAGGATCAACAACATTTTGTGGTTGTGGATCTTGGGTTTGGGGGTCTGGCTGAGGCTGTTGTTCAGCCTGATGATAAGCCATTGTAGGAAGCGGCGGCGGCTAGGGTTTTATCCCAGGCTCTGATACCATAACAAGGAACAAGGATGAATGTATGAAAACTTAGATCTGTCTTTCTCATTGATCAGATTCGCCTTTTATAGGCCGAGAAACATACATGAAGACAAGCTCCATTGAAGCTGTCTGGTTGCTTGGAAAGGGAAATAACTCTGTCTTGGAGAAAAAGAAAACATGGCTTAAACAAGTAAAACAGATACGACAGCGTTCTAGCTTGTCTCAACTAAAGGGTTGGAGAAAACGGCAGCGCTTCATTTGATGAGAAGAAGACCGAGGACGAAGCGGCAGCGCAGCAAGGATTCCCGTTGGATTGAAACGTCGTCGGACGGAGAGAAGACCGTTGGAATTGAATTTCATTCTGTTAGACATCTCATAGAGGTTCTGGATTAAGGAGGACCTTGTTGTTTAAGTAAGCATCTTGTTGTAAAGTGTGCTCGATAGCCTTGTAGAACCTGATTTCGGTGGCGCCGCTTCTAAATTGCTTCGTCTCTGTTGGTATGAATGCCCTTGATAGTGATGGAATGTCGTTGATCTAATCAGGGACGAGCAAGGTTCACCATGTTCAAGACTTCATGACGTGATTTCGATGAGTTGCCGAGAGAATGATCTTTCGCCGGCCCCGGATTATGGCCAGAGATTGCGGCTGTATCAAATGATTGACAATGGCGCACCAATATCCGTTGGCGAGGGACGAACAACAGAGGGGCAGATGAACCGCCGCAGTCGCCATCTAACTAGAGCTACCAATCAACATAAACTATCGTACATGGAACATTTTGAAGGATCAAGCCGATTCTGGGGGTAAGGGAATAAGTTTAGATCAGACAATGCAACAACATGGGAGTTGCTAAAGGTCGCCCTTAGAATTGCTAAAGGTCGCCCTAAAAAAGTTTAAAGTTACACTTATAACCCCCTATCTACTTTACCTTCCCTTTATCAAACAAACACCACTTGGACTAAAAAAACACTATCTAAGGAGAGAAAAAAATCCATCATCGTCATTTTGAAGCCGATATCGTCGGTAGGACGTCTGAATCATGAGTAGCGACTCCGACGAGGTAAATACATTAACTGAAAAACAAAAAAATATGGGAACCGCAAGTGACCTGCGGTCGGACCATGGCTGGACCGCAAGTGAGCTGCGGTTGGACCATGGCTGGACCGCAAATCACCTGCGGTCCAGCCATGGTCCGACCGCAGGTCACTTGCGGTTCAGTCATGATTCAACTGCAGGTCACTTGCGGTTGGGCATTTTTTGGGTTTTTTTTTCGTTGAATAATTTTCTATTTTTTATATGATTTATGATTTGTTCCATGAGATAATTTGTTGGGTTTTGATTTATATAATTTTCTAGATTTATTTGCATAATTATTTTTGGAAATGAAGGATTTAGCATTAGAAATTAAGATTAGATTTGGCCTTAAATTAAGATTAGATTTAATTTGATCTTAATCTAGAAAATTAAGATTAGATTTTGCATTACAAATTAAGATTAAATTTATAGCATAAATAATAGATTCGCATATGAAGTTATGATGATTATTAAATTTAATATAGTTATGAAATTTTAAATTTATCATATGATACTCGTTAATTGACGATATAGAATGTTAAGTTTTTTTTTTAAAATTTGTGGGGTGTCACTTATAAATTCTGATAACATTGCAGGATATTGGAAGTTACAATCCGGATGGCAATGATTACACCTCGGATTTTATTGATGGCGTGAAATACACTACGGAGTTGCAAGCATATGAAGCAGCTACTGAGATTGCCAAGGGTTTTGGGTTTTATTTGGTGAGGGCATCGAACAAAAAAATAAGAATGAAGGTACTTGGCGACATTACTTACATTGCACTCATGGTAGGAAGAAGAAGTCGAAGGAACCTGATCCGAGTAAGGAAAGGAGGCCTCTTACATCTACTGAAAAGTTGGGGTGCGAGTTTCAGATCAAGCTTGAGCGGTCAGGTGATGGATATTGGTTGATCCTAGGGGTGGCAAATACAAAGAATCCTGGTGCTAATTTGGGTTTCCACAATCATCAGTTGGAGCTATTTCCGGAGGGATCAAAGGGAAGGAATGTTTTGACTACAGAGGATAAGCAATACATCAGAGAGCTGAGATCAGCCGGTGTCCCACCAAGGAATATCCACAAGGTAGTGAATGAGAGAAAAGGTGCAAATGGAACACACAACAGAAAGCAGATTTATATCGATTTGCAAAAGATAAGGAAAGAAGAGCTTGGTCAGATGACAACCTTACATTATACTTTCCGCGTGGCGCAAGATAAGGGTTACTATGTGCAGTATATGGACGATCGTAACGTGCTTACACACTTGTTCCCAGCCCACCCTGAGTCAGTAGTGATGTTGCGAACTTGGCACCATGTGATCGTGATAGATGCAACATACAAGACCAATAAGTATGATATGTCTTGGGTTGAGATTGTCGGCATGACACCATTGGGATTGAACTTTGTCATTGCATCTGCAATAGTGTACGACGAGACGAAGGAGTCGTACCAGTGGCTTCTGACGCATTTGCAACATCTTCTTGGCCCCATTGTTCCAGATGTGTTTGTCAGTGACAAGGCAGGAGGATTGGTTGAGACCGTGGGGGTAATGTTTCCATCATCGACTCATATATTATGTCTTTGGCATATGGATAGGAATGTGAGGGCAAAGTGTCTAGCGGAGGTGAGAAGGACGACTCATTGTGGTATAGATGCAGCCAAACCGACAATGGATCATATCATGGCGTCTTGGCAACGTGTTGTATATGCATTGACAGTGGAAGACATGGATACTACCTTAGACAATTTCAGACGTAGTTGGGGAGTACAGTACCGACGTCTTTGTTATCATTAATTAACATTTATCGAAAACGTTTTTTAAATTTTTATATCATATAACTAAATTATAACTAAATTAACATTTATCGAATACGTTATCATTAATTATATTTTTTATTAAGTATATTTTTTAATTTTTTTATTATTAACATTTATTTAAACACAAAATATTAAAAAATAGAATAAAAAAATGAGTCGACCGCGGTCAAACCGTGGTTAGACCGACGGTAAACCGCGGTCAACGCGCGGTTGAACCGACGGTTGATCGCGGTCAAAGCGCGGTTTGACCATCGGCCAATCGCCCTTTGACCGCGGTCCGCCGTCGGTTCAAACGCGCGTTGTCGGCGGTTGACTGTCGGTCTAACCGCGGTTTGACTGCGGTCGGCCCTTTTTTTTTTACCTTCTTCTTCTCCGACGAGCGAGCGCGCGACCTTCTCCGGCGGCGGCGAGCGCGCGACAGGTAAAGGGCGGACCAGCGCGCGACCTTCTTCTCCGGCGGCGAGTGCGCTTCTTCTCCGGCGGCGAGCGCGGTTCTTCTCGTCTGCGGGTCGGTGGACCAGGAGGCAGAGCACCGGCGGCGGGACAGCAGAGGGGCAGAGGGGGAGGGGGACCAGGAGGCAGAGCACCGGCGGCGGGATTTCTTCTCGTCTGCGCGTCGGCGGACCAGGAGGCAGAGCACCGGCGGCGGGACAGCAGAGGGGTAGAGGGGGAGAGCACCGGCGGCGGAAGGAGTTCGCCGGCGGAAAGGGTGGAGAGGGTGGAAGGTTCTGTTGTGGATTCGTTGCTGCCGAGGGAAAGGTAAGGGCTGTTTGGTTTTCTTATTTTTTCAATTTTCATTAAGTGTATATAGGTAATATGACATTTAAGTTAGGGCGACGTATAGCAATTATTAGGGCGACATTTAGCGACTCAGAACAACATCAATGGTCGAATTATTGGGGAAGTCCTATTAAACAGGTGAGTGTAAAACTACAAGAGAAAAACGAAGGAGAGAGCCGTCAGACATCTTCCAGAAGGGCTTTGCTCACATCATGAGCCACCTCCCTTGCCATCACCAATCATATCACCAATTGAAAGGCTCCACAGAAATTCACAGTAAAAAAATCATGCGTCAAAAACCAATTAATTGCAACCCTTAAACTATATCTTTGTAAGCACTTGTCAAAAAAAAAAAAAAACCTCAATGTGACACCAATGAAGTCAACATCAACATGAAAATTTCGATCTTACTCGTTTTACTCGATTTGTTTAACCTGTTTTGGAGAGAGGTATGTATGGGTACTCTCATCGACCTGATCTACCCATTCTCGACTTGTTATTGCCTAAATTACATGTAATGTTATTAAGATTAATTATGAATTTTCTTTTATCACCTCATATTTTAGCTATCATAAAATTGTAAATAAATGAGTATCTCAATTTCTCCAATAATTTAACTTATGGTTTGTTTCTTGGTCTTCTAATGAAAATAACAAATATTTCTAATGTTTTCATATAAATTACATACACATTGGGTAGACCTGCAATGACCTGCGCCTCATAATAAATTACCCGACCTATCACAGGGCGGTTATGGGTATTGAGATACTCGCCCCGGACTTGCCCGATTGCCATTCCTACCATTACCCGACCTAACCTACGATGAGGTGGAGCATGAGTATCTACTTCCTACCCGTCCTGTCTCCGGTCTGTCTCATTCTTTGCTCATTCTATTTCAATTTCTTACAATATCTATTCATATAATCAATTACCCACTATGTTATCACTATTTTCCATTTATAAAGTGTTTTCCATTCAATTTACGAACAAGGGATTGGTCTAGTGGTAATACTAGTAGCCTTGAACCTGGAGGTCCCAGGTTCGAATCTCTTCAGTAGTAACTAATTACAAAAAATAACCTATATCACCCCTATCTAAAAAAAGTAAAAAATCTTATATTTTTTTGTTTCCAAACAACATGTAAAAATTGGTTGACCTGCTCCGTTACGTACCTATGCAATATTACTCGCTCCGACTCGCATTCCGTACCGAATGAAAATGAATATTGAGATACCAGCCCTGCCCATCCTTTTGCCATCACTACAAGAGAGTTATATATAATGGCCTTGGGATTTGCTTAGGGTTTCCATCATCAGCAGTTTAGATTTAATTAAAGAGAGGGGTAATTTAGGAATTTCGAAAAAAGTAAATGCCAGGTGTTAAACCTTTTCTCCTCGATAGGCTGCCAGAAATTAACCTTTTGCAAAAATTCAAATATTTATATATAATGTAACTTTTTTTAGACAACGGCCTAAAATCCTGAAAAAAAGATCAAAGTTTATCTACAAAATACTATAAGGCAATGTCAAAATAGAGCCTTTGCCATGTCAATCCTTCATGATCAACCCGCACAGTGCGGATGGGCTTTTCAGTCATTCTTAATTCCTCTCTTTCTCGCTATCTCTCTAGCCCAACCATCCCAGAAAATCCGACCCCTCCTCTACCTCATCGCCTCCCAAAAGCGCAGAAACGGCTGGCGTTGCCCCTGCCCTTCCCTTTCCCGTCGTCGCTCCCTGTTTCTCTCGCTGTCTCTCTCTAGGCCGAATCGATAGCCAGTTCCTTAATTCTTTAACTCCCCTAAAAAACTGAACTCCGCCACCCGCCAACCACAGCTCCCGCCGTCCTTAGCGGTTAGCGTTGCCCTCGAAAGTGATATTTCAACCCTCGCCGGCGAGCAAAAAAATTAAACTGCCCCCTGTCGTCGCTCTCGCTCATACCCCTTCTCGCTATTTGACCGTCTGTCTCCCAAGCCTCCCGGAAAGCCCACGCCTGACCGCCATCCTTGCCACAATGCACAATCTGATCCTGGAATACCCCCAAGCGTTGTCCTCGACAGTGTTCACTTCAATATGCTCTCGGCCTAACAGAAGGTGTGTTTCGAATGTTCAAACTTTCTTTCTTCTTCTATACTATTTCTCATGGACTATTTCTCATGGATTCCATCTGGAAATTTAGTCGCTCTCCTTTTGTAATTTGATTCGCAAGTTTGTATCTTCGTTTCAAAGGGAGTTGCAGTCTATAAAAAATCTATGGGTTGGAGGTCTGATTGGGAAGAACAAAGAGGCTTGAGCTGCGATCACTCTCTTTCCCCACCCTTTTTGTTCCATCTCACTATTCCATGACTTAATTGTCGTGCAAACCCCAGGCTCCGCCAGTTAAGTCCCCCCTGAGCGCCATTGTCGACAAACCCAAAACCTCGCCACCACCCCCTTCTAATTCCCGCGCCTCAGGCTTCCGGCAAGATTCATCACAATGCGTCAATAAGGTTATTCCTAACTTCCTTCGAACGTTCTGAAATTAATGGTGTGTGACGATCATTGTTATCGAGCTTAGGGATTAGATCAATTGAATTTGATATTTCTGAGAGTAGTGGTAGATTGGATACGTGGTGTGATTGATACAAGGCCAAATGTGGGTGGCGAGTGCTGCAAATTATCTGTAACCTTTGTGGTGGGCTTTTGTGATAATAATTAATATTCCAAGGCTTATACCTGCTATTTACTTAGAAAGAGTTCATTATTCTGTTTCTTAAAACCTTCCACTGCAATTCCTCTGTCTTGCGCTTCAAAATGCAAAGAAACAAAGGCTTACAATAACTTCAATTTCTCTATCTGTTGTCCCGTTAATCCTGCTTCAATATTCACTCACTAAAAGATGAGATTTCCATTATATATACTCGAATTGAATAGCAAAGTAGTTGATCATTATGTTGTCAAAGTTGCTAAAAGAGTAGCTTGATCAAATTGCTGAAATTGTTTTTGTTATGATTGCATCAAGATTTCTTTACTACTGTCACATCTTTTAGCAATTAGTTGTTGTATTTAAGGATATGCTGGGTATTACATCTTAACTTATATGATTTGTTAGTGGTTATTACATGATAATAGTTTTTCGGATGATTATAATTGTGCATTACTTTACTGTGGTCAAACAATCACAGTAATGGACAACAAACTAAAGGCAGAGCTTCAAACTTTTGCAGTGATACCTAGGTACCATGATTCAAGGTTGATGCCACTGATAAGGGAGATATTTGTACCAGTGTCAACAACTCACAAGATGAACCAAACTTAGAGGAAAGCTACGACACTTATCCAAGTTCTGGAGGTCTAAGAGAGAGTACCTTGAAGAAGCAGAAAAAGAATCCATGTTGTTGTCTCGGACATTGCGTAGTACTGGAATGATTTGTTTGATGGTAAGGTTGAGGTTAGGAACATTGTATTTGGTAGTTTGCTTCTCATATATGGGATGTTAGATTGTTAGTGCGTGGTTTGCTTGGCATGTTGGTAAATAGGTTCAACTTTTGTATTCTGCTTATAATAGGACTTTCATGTTGTGCTAATTCAAAAACAACTTATTCCTGCAATTTATGTGGCTAATCCAAAAGAATGCACTTTCAGCTTGCTTTGGTTTGTTTATCTATGGAGTTTCAGGTTATGTTTATTCAAACAGTAGCTTACCATGTCGTTTATTCCAAAGAAAGATGTTATGCTTGATGTTGTTTGCTTTTCAATTATAAGCAGTTTCAGTATGTTTTTATTCACGCAACAGCAACTTATTGGTCTTATTTATCTTTCAGTATGTTTTTATTCCCCCAAGCCCCAGCTCAGTGCCTCCCGACATCGGTCCTCGGAATTCCCTCCCAAATCCAACCGCCGAGGAAACAATCCTTCTCTGTCTCGCTCTGTGCCTTCAAAAACCGACTCTGTTTTTGCTGATTTGCTCTCAAAGGCCAAAGGTATGGACCATCCTAAACCTATTCATATGTGTCCACATTTTCCCCCAGTTTCTCAAGGAGGCTAATCCATAGCTGAATATTCTGTGTGATTCATCCCATACTTCTATATCTGTTCCCTACATGCACATAAGCAAGATTCATTTGGGCATCAAACCCATCAAAAGCAAAATAAGCAATCCAAACACAACAATAATAGCGAAGAGTGGAATTTAAAGCGGAGGAAGCAGGGGAAGCAGTGGAAGGAGGAATTAGGGGGCCATGCAAAAGGAGGAGTAGACACGTTGATGGGGAATGGTGGGTCCACTAGAATGCTAAATGGAGTTATTATTCTCCAATTGTGATACCAAAATTCTTTATGGCTTTTGCAGGAAACCTAGGTTGAAATTTCAAACCCCAATTATCGGTTAAAGGAGACAAACTATTGTATTCCCTCTTCAAAGTGTCGACCTTTGCGGCTTTGCCCCCACTTGCCGCACAAGAGAGGCTGATCATCATCTAAAATTATATTTTCCTCTGCCGGCTCAAAGGCTCTCATGGAAACGAAGAAGCAACAAAGGCCACCCATGGCATTTAGTCTCTCGGTTTGTTAGGTTTGTATATTTATTGTAGCAATACCTCAAGGGATTATAACACTGGCTGTAGGTCTCTCCTCCCCAGCATGTACAAATACAACAAGCAGGTGAATTAAACGTGCAAAATTGTGGAGGGAAATTGTGATCTAATTAAAATGGTTATTTGTGCTTTAGTTGAATTTAACTTTGGAGATTTTGACTACACGACCTGTGTTTTAGTTCTATGGATGGTACCAACCGTATGCTTATGTGTGATTGTAGCAGGAACATCTTGGTTGATTATGTTAATGATGTAGCCAAAATGTTGCTTCCTTCTAGGGGTCATCAAATAGTCTTCATTTTATGTCGTTCGTATAGAATATTATCACAACATTTGCTAATCCCGGCCAACGAGCCGGGCCCAATGCTAGTTTTTATTAAGTCGATGCTGGAGAAACAGTGAAACAACACAGCTTACTATTACAGGAAGGAAGAACGCACGGCGCGAAAACACGCAACTCTAACACTACACTACGCGACAAGGAAGCCCAGAAAAGGCCCCAGAGTCCACGGGCAGAACCCTCATCACTCCTTATTCTTGCACCAAATCGGAAATCCGTACCACGACCAATTGAATTGACCATCCCTCTCTCTGCAACGAAGGATAACCCAAATAAGATCGAGACGGCCGTTTATTAATTTCTCCACGATGGCAGATCATGATCACCAACGGGAGAGACCACGACGTCCGCCAAGTGCTGCAGCAGAGCGCCGAGCCGCGGGGCGAGCCTCCAGCTTATTCGGGGTCTGGCGGATCAGGGTCTGTCCCGTGGGAGCGTTCCGGTTCAGAAAGTTGGTGTACCAGCAGGCCGAGCTCTTCGGGTAGCGGGTCAGCTCACCGTCGGTGTAGTCGATGTAGTAGAACCCGAACCGGACCGAGTAGCCGTCGTTCCACTCGTAGTTGTCCGCAAACGACCACGCGAAGAACCCCGACACGTTCACGTTGTACCCGCTGCACGGTACAATATTATATTATATTCAAGTGAACACAACCGCGCGCAAGCCACGATCGGAACCGAATTAATTAACAATTATCAGGAAAATAAGGTGCAAAGATTAAAAAACTGACGTCATGGACTGGAGCACACTGTCGAGGTGGCTGTCATAGAACTGTATCCTGGCGTCGTCTTTTGTCGCTTCCTCGATTGTTTGTGTGGGATCGTCCTCTTGAGAAAGTCCTGATGAATGATTCAGAAACCCAATAATTAACCCATCCTTTCTCAGGAGCTGTTTATATTTGAACTAGCTAGCTACGAGTTAAACTAATTAACCGGCACACATTACCATTCTCGGTGATGTAAATATGAGGGTTTCTGTATTCATCTTTGGTGTAGTTCAAAAGATATTGAAGCCCTTGTGGGTACAGGTACTGCCAAGACGAACCCAACTGCACAAATTTTTTGTATCAACAATATAATTAATTTTTCATCATACTAGCTAGTTCACAAACTAAAACAACTTAATTTATTAGTTTAAATATCATTGACTGATTGGTTTTTGTTTTAGTTACCTGTGGACCAATGAGTTTTCCGTTAACCCCAGTAGCTGATCACAATGGAATCACCAACGAGTTAATTAGTAGGGTCATATGTATATGTGTTTGTTTCGAAAACATAACTGCATAATTTTTTTTTTTTTATAATGGTGATTAATTAACTGAATAATTACCTGTAGTAATTGTGTGGGAATCCTTGAGATACTCGAGGTGTTGAGGGTCGAAGTTGGGGTTGTTCATGGAGTAATAGGCGGTGTAATAGTTAAGCCCCAGAAAGTCGTACGAGCCAGTCAACGATGCGGATTGCTCATCGTTGAAGGTGGGCAGACGAGTTCCGACGAGGTCGATCATGTTCTGCGGATAGCGACCATAGGTTATGGGATCCATGTACCTATATACATACGATTCATTTAAAACGAGTTAATTATATTCTAGTTAGTTCATCAGAGCTTTACTAATTTAATTGGATGAGGTAGAGAATTATATTATACTCACCACCCAAACATAAAGTCTATGGATCTCTTAGCTGCATCTCTATCCGCTGGGGTATCGGTGTAAGGAACGAACCAGAAAGTAACAATGGTGATTCCTACTTCCCCGCCTTGACTTGCCTATTGATCAAAACAAGCAACCATTGTTATATTAGGAAAATTATATATACGAGACAAAGTACTTAATTAGTGACTAGCTAGCTAGCTCTAGAGGTTAATTAATTGAGGTTCTAATTCTATGCTGCCAATTAAATTAATTAATAACCTTGTATTTCTGCTGGTACAACCGATAACCAGCGGCATGAGCGAGAAGGAGATTGTGGGTGACGATGTAAGGCTCGGTCCCGGAGTTTCCAGCGAGACATGCTCGGTTAACCCACACCGAGCAGCGCCCCGGTGCCATCAGCCCTTCGTCGTACCCTCTCATCACGTAAGTCACCGGTTCGTTCAATGTTATCCATTTCGTTACCTTTTTACCGTATTCTTCGAATAACAGGTCACAATAGTCTTCAAAGTCATCCCTGGATAACATAACATGCACTAGATTAATTTTACGTACTCGAAATCACGTGATCGATTCATCCTACGTAACTATATATATATATCTCTCTCGTCACTTACACAATGTTAGAGCTTAAGAAGCCACCGTACTCGGCTTCGAGTGCCTGAGGGGTATCCCAATGCCATATTGTGACATAAGGCTCGATACCTAAAATCAATCATTGTAACATACACACACAAATACGCATTATATTAGAATTTCATTAATTTAATTTCCAATTTGATTTATATATATGTGTTTTTTTTAGCAAGCCAAAAATCTTCACCATTTTCTAGGAGCAAATCAATAATCGTGTGATAAAATTGGATTCCTTTGCGGTTCACCCCTGTGCTCCGTTTCCCGTCTGATATCAAAATTTTAAAATTGTCACCACATAAATTAGCTTGAAGAAAAAAATCAGATTAGTAGAGATATATATATGGAGATAACTACTGACATGGGATAACCCGAGACCAGGAGATGGAGAGCCTGTAAGCATCCACATTCATATACTTCATTCTTTGTATATCCTCCTGTACGTATTAGTTCGTTTCGTAAGTAGCGATCGAGTATAAATACACATCAAATACGTACGTACGTACGTATTTGCACTGCGCTGCGTAAATAAGTAGACTTAATTAATACCCGAAACAGGTTATACATATCAATGGCCTCATCTCCATTACTTCCATCAGCAATTCTCTCTGCACGAAACGAAATCGTTATCGATATACCACGATACGATATACAGGAAAAGAGGAACAATTTAAGTAGCTATAGAGATCGACCTGGGAATTCATGGGCGAATTTGTCCCATACGCTTGGCCCCCTGCAACTCGTGTTGGCTGCACCTTCGACCTTTGATTCACCAAAGGAATTACGTACACAGATTAGTTAATACGTAACTCGGAAATTAATAAGTAACTCGGAACGTACAGATTAATTAATAGTTAGGTAGGTAGGTAGGTAGGTTTACCTGATAAGCAGAAGTGGCAGTGCCAAAGACGAAGCCGGGAGGGAAATCGTTGCGGCCATTGAGGAGGCCGGTGCCTGTAGGAGGGTGGTCGTAGCCGGCGCAAGGGTCAGGGATGACAGGAATCTGCGCCATGGCACGAGCCAGCAGTAGGGTTATTGACACCAGGACAGCAATGGGTGGCATCTTTGGAAACCCTCGAAAACGAGCCATGTCGTTGGGCCAAGCAAAAAGGAAAGAAGGAGGATGGAGAACTATATATATTGAACTCCAACAAGATACCAGGCCAAAGGTGGCTTTGTGGCAACCCTCTTTATATAGATAAGATACCAGGCCAAAGGTGGCTTCTGCATAATATTACTGTTTGTTTTAATCAAGTTTGTTTCTTACTTATTTACTGGTAATACAGCCAACATGATGGATACATAGATTAATGTTTTACAGTGTCTAGTAAGTACTCTCGGTTTTTATGGATCCAAATCTGACTAGTAAACAAATATTTACTAGTGTAATATTCTCATCCAGATCTACCCAGTGAGGGTTTTTTAAAACTGAATTTGTGTCAGAACCTTAAAGTTTTAACTAATATGTTTCATTGCAGACCTTTTGTTTTCGGTTCTTGCATTTCGTAAGCTACCTCATACGGCTAGTCTGCAGATTGGTGGCATGAAGTATCATGTCATCACAGCTGAGGTTCTTTTGGCTCACAGGTCTAACTTGAAGAAGCCCTATACGACATCGTTGTTCTCGCACGACGTCACCCCACGTAATCGTTCGTATCATTTGTTTCCGTTTCACGTTACAACGTGTTTCGTTTCTATTGGTCAGTTACTGTAGTTAGATAGTCTTGTTATTTACTCCGTTAGTAATGTTTTATTGCTTTCTTCTTATGTTAGTACCACTAGGGTTTCCGCTCACCATGTACATATTGCAAACTTAATGAAACAAAGTTCCACCCATTCCCTTCTCTTAGCTAATAAACAACGGTTAGTTCGTATCATATCATTTTAGAGTGATTGTTGGTTTCTATTACGATTTGCAGAAAGAACTGAAGAAGAAGAAAAGAGGAGCTGGATTGATTTGAATATTGGTGGGAGCTTGACGAGCTCATGATACGGAGTCGTTTTCCTCAGAAGCGGTTGAAGATCTGAGCCAAGACGGCATCATCTCATCTAAGCAGACCACCCTTTTTCGAATTTACTGTAGTTGTACAACTATCGCTTTCTTATTTGTAGATAGTTTGTTTTATCGTTTGTTACCGTTAAAAGACAGAGATTAGGCCTGTACAATTTGATTAGTTCTTGATATATATATGCCCTTTGAGGCACCAGAATCCCTTGCGGGTTTCAACCAAAATCATCTATTTTACCTAATTTCACATGGTATCTGAGCCTGGTTGGCTCATCTAGGTCATCACCCATTCTAGTCCCGCATTCTTGATTCTCAGTAGCACATACCAACAATGTCTACTACTCCTATTTCTGCTTCTCTTCTTCTGTTAACTCTAGCTCATCTTCTGTTCCTTCTTCTAGCACAGTCACAAACCATTCTACATCAACCCTAATGAATCGTTGGTCTTCCCCATCAAGCTTTCTGGGACAACTAATTACAACTTGTGGAGCACGACTATTCGAGTTGCTCTCAAGAGTACTTACAACTTGTGGAGCAGGACTATTCCAGCCCCAGCTCCCACTAATGAAGGCTATGCAGCGTGGGAACAAAGCAACACAACTATGTATTTCATGATTTTGGGATCCTTAGATCCAAGCCTTGTTCATAGTGTGTCTTCTCAGGACAATGCAAGGTTACTTTGGGAAGACCTTAGACAACGATTTAGGAAGGTATACAACATCAGGATTACAGATCTGCAAACATCTCTCTATACCGTCAAACCAGGTAACATATATGTTAATCAATTTATTCAGATATGAAAGGGTTTTGGGAAGAGCTGGTCTAGTTTTTACCTATTTCTGAATGTGCTTGTGGTGGAGAGAATACAAACCAAACTATGCCTTGTATTACTGAAACCACAGTGAAGAAGTATAGAGAAAATGAGTTTGTTACTCGTTTCATTACTGGTTTGAATGATGCTTACAGTGGAGTTAAAACAAATTTGCTTATGATGCAACCTCTTCCCTCGATGGAGACTACGTTCCACTATGTTATACAACATGAGAGGCAGGTTGCTAAGCCTAACCTTGAGGCACAAGTAGATTTAGTTGCATTACTTGATGCAAACCAATCTAAAGGAAAGAAGAATGCCAAAGTATGCCTTTTCTGTAGATATTGCAAGAAGGATAATCATGTTATAGCTGATTGTTATAAACTTAAGAGAAAGAACAAGGAACAAGGAGGGATCTCTGGGTTTGCTAGACAGGTTCAAGGGGTTGACAGTTCTGGATATGAGATTTTATCTAAGCCTGAAACAAGAAATGCATCAGAGAGTGGTGACAACTTTACCAATATCAGGCTGTCCAATGATGATCTCAGTCGCTTGCAGAAGCTCCTTAATCAGTTCAGCCCTCCAGCCTCTCCTACATCACCTGTTTCACCAGCACCAACACCTAACTCCATCAATCAACAACAGTCATCGATGGTGAACTCAGTTAGCAGGCACCTGTCTGTTAATCCAAATTCCTCAGGTAAATACACTCTATCAACATACTTTCTAAAGCACCCAATGGAGTTTTCCAGTGTGTGATTTTTAGATACAGGGGCAACAGATCATGTGACTTGTTGCCTGTCCAATTACATAAAACATGTCCCCATCAAGAATGTCTCCATTACCTTACCTAATGGTTCTAAAACACCAGCAACTCATTCTGGTAGTGTTAGGTTTGATTCTGGTTTAGTCATCCATGAGGTGCTATTTGTTCCTACCTTCTCTTTCAACCTTATATTTGTTAGCAAGCTAACTAAGTCTATACTAGTTTCACTTACCGTTGAATCCAACCTTTGTCATATCCAGGACCTTCAATCCATGAGGAGGATTGGTTTTGCCCGAGATACTAGCTAACTAAGTCCTACTAGTATTTCCTTACCATTGTTGATGACAAATCTAGGTGTGTTTGGGTTTACCTCATGAAACATAAGAGTGAAGCTAGAAATTTACTAAGGGATTACTGTATCATGATTAAGGCACAGTATGGAAAACAAATTCAAATTGTTAGATCAGACCAAGGGGCAGAGTTCCATATTCCTCATTTTTACTCCCAATATGGCATCACACACCAGATGTCATTTGAAACACCACAAAAAAATGCAGAGTTAAGAGAAAGCACCAACACATCTTAAATGTAGCTAGGGATTTGAAATTCCAATCTGGCTTGCCTGTTTACTTTCATTTCTGTTTCCTGTTTTTGAGAAAACAGATGTTGAAAACAGGTGAAAACAATATTTTTTTGTTTCCGAAAACAGCAGGAATTTGCCACTTTCTGTTTTCATAGTTGGAAACGAGTAGAAAACAGAATGAAAAGTAAACAAGTTTTCTCGTTTCGGTTGCCAAATTTATGACATGAAAATAGAAAACAGGAAACGAAAATGGAAGTGAACATGGCCAAAAGTTTTGGTCTGATTTTGTTCTCCGTGTTGTCTTTCTCATAAACAGGCTACCTACTGTTGCTCTTGATAACAAAACCCCCTATGAGTTACTATATGGTTCACCACCTAATTTTTCCAACCTTAGAGTGTTTGGGTGCCTTGGTTATGCTAGTACTTTGATGCATAAGAGAACAAAATTTTCACCTAGATCCAAACCTTGTGTCTTTCTTGGTTTTCCACCAGGCATTAAGAGTTACAAATGCTATTACTCCAATTGCAATTCCCGAGGTTGAAGAGAGAGACACGAAGTAGCTCTTGTATGACCTTACTGTCCAGAAGGTCATATTTTCAAGACATGTGGTGTTCCATGAACACATTATCCCTTGCCTACAAAATCAAACAGTTTCAGCACCTGTTCCTACTACTTCTGAGGGCAACCTTCCACCATCAACCTCAGATTCATCCTTCTTTCCACCAACAAATCCTATAGTTACTCCTATCCCTCTCCAATTACCACCTGACCAAGAGCCTTTAGAGGCTTATTCTCACAAATCTTACCTACTCCTACACCTACCACACATTCTACAGCTTCCCCATCTCCTCCTAATGCTAATACAAGATCCACTTCTCCTGCAAACCATTCCTCTCCTTCTTCTTCCTCGCCTTCAGACCTGCACTCCTCTCCCTCACAAACTTTACCTATAGCCCTAAGACAGCAACCACAACATGTTTCACGTCAAATATGATGACTATGTACATAATTTGAAAACTAACACTGGTAAACACACCTATCTATTGGTTGCTTGTCTTTCCTCTGATTAATTATCATTGGGATATAGAAAGTATGTTTTTGCTATGGATTCACATTGGATACCAAATTCTTTTGAGGAAGCCATGCAAGATATAAAATGGAGGAATGCCATGGTTTTGGAGATCAATGCTCTATTGGCTAACAAAACTTGGGATGTTGTTCCATGTCCTGAAGGGAAAAGACCAATTGGGAATCGATGGGTGTTCACCATCAAATTCAATCTTAATGGATCGGTGGAAAGGTACAAGGAACGCTTAGTAGCAAAGGGTTTTACTCAAATTTATGGGATATACTTCCTAGATACCTATTCTCCTGTAGTCATGTTGCTAAGCTAAACACAGTCAAAACTCTTCTTGCCATTGCCTCTGCTAAGAATTGGAACATGTCCCAGTTATTAGTAATGCATTTTTGTATGAAGACCTTGAGGAGGAGGTGTACGTACATGGACTTACCACCTGGCTTCTCTCAACTAGGACATGTTTGTAGACTTAGAAAGTCCTTGTATGGGTTCAAACAAGCATCTCGTCAATGGTTTTCAAAATTGACATCATCTCTGTTCAGTTTTGGATATTCACAATCTACTAGTGATTATTCACTATTCATTCATCATGGGAATAATGGTACTTCAATTTTACTGGTCTATGTTGATGATATCATCATAGCAGGAGATGATGTTGAGGGGATGACAGCATTGAAAGCTTTTCTCAAGACTCAATTCAAGATTCGTGATCTAGGAAACCTCCAATACTTTTTGGGTTTAGAGATTGCCAGATCAAGGGAGGGTTTACATCTTTTCCAAAGCATATATTGTATTGATCTGTTGCAGTGATACGATCCTGGAAGCGATCGAATTCCATCCAGGATTAATCGTCAAAGAGGCCAAGTCGAATTGCAAAGTAAAAGCTGAAAATTGTCCAAGTCAAAATCCGTGTTCAGGGTACATACTTTGGAAGCATGGTTCTCTCAATTGGCTTTGTGGAAATTCAAGGTTAAGGGTTTGTTGTGCAGATAAAGTTGTCATGTTTCCAATGGTATGCTCTCTGGATCCAGATGATGTCATTAAGGTTGTTTTCCAAGGTCTCAAAGTTGCTACCTCAAAACTGGAAAACTGCCAGAAAATGGTTAAGTCTGGAAACTGTTTTGTGAAGCCTACTTTGGAGCCTAATTCGAGGAGTATGGATCTGATTCAAGTCCAAAGGCTTCCACAACATGAAACTAGGTATGTTTATCTACCAAGGGAAGGAATAAGATGAAAGATTGGAGTTCGGGAAGGCCTCGAACGCAAGGCACAAAGTTAGTACGAAAGCTGCCTTTTGACTGTTTTGCGGGCAGCTTACTTGCGCTTGCAGAAAGGGAGTTTAAACTCGAATTTTGTGTCCTTTTTAGTGTAGAATTTTACCTTAATTGTTTCCTAGTTATACTATGATTGTATTAGGTTTTATTTTCCTTTAAATACCGTTCTATTTCGTTGTAAAATTCAGACTTTGATTAATCGAAATTGAGAACCGTTTGGTTTGTGCAAGTTGCGACTTGTTTTGGGTTTGGTGGATTCCAAACTTGCTGAGCTTGTGTATTGATTGAATAGTCACTTCAATCATGGTCGAGCAACTACCCTTTTATACCAATCGAGCTATCCCCAGGTGTGGATTTGTCCTTTTGGTTCCGTTTTATCCAAGTTCGTATTAAGAACGCGTTGTTCTTGATTCGAGTTCAATCAATCTTTGGATTGATTGTTTGCTGCGTTACTTTGATAAAAATACACCCCCCAGGGGCGTATTATGCAGGATACTGGTTTTGGTGATTGCAAGCCAGTAGTTACCCCCATTGATATGAAGACATATCTGTATGCAGATGATGGTCCCCTCCTTGATGATCCTAGCCTGGATAGAAGGATCATTGATAGACTGGACTACCTTACCATTACTCGTCCTGAGATCAACAACTTTGCCAACACCAGAATGCGGTTGAAGAGCTGAGCCAAGACGACGTCGTCTCATCTAAGCAGGCCACCCTTTTCTGAATTTGCTGTAGTTGTACAACTGTCACTTTCTTATTTGTAGATAGTTTGTTTTAACGGTTGTTACCATTAAAAGACAGAGATTAAGCATGTGCAATTTGATTAGTTCTTGATATATATATGCCCTTTGAGGCACCAGAATTCCTTGCGGGTTTCAACCAAAATCATCTCTTTTACCTAATTTCACAGTTTCCAAACACATTCCTGACAAATTCTTTTCCACAAATGTATGTAGCAGCTATCAGTAAAGTCCAACACTCTAATTAAAGTCGTTACTACTCTGCATAATGATCAATTAGAGTGGAAACCTGAATTCCTTACGATTTCAAAAGTGTGCTTTTTTACTTGGCTTGCTAACCAGAATAAGATTCCTACCTTGGCTAACCTCAAGATAAGAAGGTTGGTCACTACCAAACCAATGTTGCATGTGTTGGGAGGTAGAGAAGACAATATCTCATCTCTTGTTTCATTGTCAGTTTACGCGTCACATATAAGTGTTATGGGGTGAATCGCTTGACGTTACTCTATGATGATAATAGAATAACCATTACTCTATGGCTTCCAGTTACTAATTTGTACCATTGTAACTTTATGACTTCGCGGCCTTAGGTGCTCCCACACTTTCCTCACTGAGTACTTGTTCATGATCTCCCATTTCTGAAGCCCGACTTGGAGGATTTTATTCCAAGCCCTAGATTCTGGGATACTCACATGCCATAAGGAAACATTTTTCAGTATGTATTCTTTAACCCTAGCATTCCATAAGGAATTAGTATTGTATGCTAAAATAGACGAAACATGTCTGATTATACAAGTAGTATTACAACTTTTCATCTCCTTGAATCCTAGCCCCCCTTCTTCTTTAGACAATGCTAAAACTTTCCATGAAACTTTTGTTTTTGCTTCTGAAAGCTGAAGGAGCATAAGAACTCTTAACACAACCTTGCAACTTCTTTAACTATTGTGCTCGGTAACTGGAAAATACCCATCCATTTCTGTGTAATGCTTGCTAGTACAGTGATAACCAACTGGTACTTGACTTTCCAGTGTTGATAATTTAGACAGTAACGGAAATGACAAACATGATTTACGTGGTATCCCTGGATGATCCAAGACTAATTCATTCGCGGGCAGACGCCTTTGGAATTGTGGTCGCTCGACAGCATAGGCAAACGAGCTTGATCCAGAGTTTCTAGGTACAACAGCAGCCGCTACAAGTGTTTCACCCTCTATTGGTCGTTGATCAATCAACGCCTGAGTTCTCATCCTGGTCTCCTCTCGAACAAGAGTGGCCAGCACTCCATCAAAGTTCAGAACCTCCTTATTGAGCAATGCCGAGCGAACTCCCTCAAATTCTGGCCTCAACAGCATCAAAAACTCCAAGATCCGGGTACGCTGCCTTTCTTCAATAGCATCATCAGAAATCACAGCTTGTGGCCGAAGGGCTTCTTGAATTAGATCTTGTTCAGTCCACAATTCTTGGGCTTGGTTAAAGTATTCAGTCACTGATTTATCCCCTTGCTCCAGACGAGCAATGGACATCTGTATCTCAAACTGACGGGTTGGATTGACCGTCGAATACAGAGCCGTCAAGTGTCTCCACATCCTGTTGGCAGTCGGAAATAGTCTCAAGCTCAGACAGGTCGAAGCATCAACGCTGTCTAGTAGCCAAGAACGCACCCGCGCGTCATTCTGGTTCCATAGGGCGCGATCTTGTGCAGTTACCGTGCCGGCAGCCGGCTGCTGCTGTGTTCCGTCCAATATTCCCAGCAACACCCCTTCCTTCCACGAACACTCGGAATTGAAATTCCCACAGTGCAAAATTCGTTGACGTGAGACGCACCGAAGGTCTCGCAGAATCAACTTGTGATGGCTCTGATACCATGTTGATAATTTAGACAGTAACGGAAATGACAAACACGATTTACGTGGTATCCCTGGATGATCCATGACTAATCCACGGAGGAGTATGAAGCTCCTTAGCTACTGATGTATTGGTTATGTTCGTCGAACAGATTGATCAGCTTACAATGACGGCTGAACAAGCTTTTATATCTCAAGCTTAGCCGAACCCTAGAACCATTAGGTTACTACGTTAACCTTCCTAATGACCATGGGCTGCATGGGCTTTAATGATCTATTGGGCTATCACGAGGACACTACCTACAGCTACATTACATAACACAAGACTACAATATAATCAACATCCAGTCCTAAATTATCTTTGTGATATTTTCTACAAGTGTTTTACAATCCCTTGTACAAAATAAATAATTACCACAGGACATTTGCAGCTGTAACTTTGTCCACAAAACCATCCCCCAAGACTTATGACAGACTTTCTATTCAATTCAATGTCATATGAATCTTCACCAGATCTCGTTTTTCGCCAACTTGAGGAACCTAGATATTTGGTGATGGACAAATTTATTATGCTATTATGTTACCGTTTTGATTAGGAGCACTTCTACTATGCTATATAGCATTGATGCTTTAATGTACAACTCAAAGTTGTACCATAACATTAAATGTATAAGTTTAGGTTGTACCATAAAGCAATTTGTACCATTATGTTATGGTACAACTTTACAACTTGAAGTTGTACCATCACATAAAGGTACAAGTTCAAGTTGTACCATAAAAGAATTTGCACAAAAAGTATAGGTACAATCTGAAGTTGTACCATAACGTAAATGTACAATTTTAAGTTGTACCATAAAGACAAAAACCTATAGCACCAATACTATATAGCATTGTAAAATTTCTCTTTGATTAATAGTTGCGACTTTGATGTACCTTTTTCTCCTCCTTATCTAATTCGTCTTGTGTTCATCTCATTTGATGATATCGTTTTTGTTGACACCAATTTGTGACTCACCAACTCACCGTAATGAAATCCTACTCATTCATAACAAAAAAAAAAAAAAAAAAGTTTGAGCATTGAAAATTGAGCTGAGGTCCGAGTATCCCGTAGACCGCAATTGAATATTCCTGAACCCAAGTGAGATTGCGATTTGTAAAACCTAGCGTACGAACAGATCTCTCTCTCTCTGTCTCTCTCTCTCTCCAAATCTCAGTTGAAGCTTGCTCCTTGATCTCATCTTTTAGTACGTACAGCTCTCTCTGTTTGCAAACCCTAAACGAATCAATCATTGAATACTATTATTTATTTCCTTCACCTCGCTCTCAGCGACACGTGGGGTAATGACCAATTTAATATGCATGTTACACTCTTCTCTAGCTGCTAACTACCGCAGGTTACCTCGATCTCCATCCATCATCGAGTTACTGAGTTCATGAGATCCGCGGGAAGAGGAGCATGCATGTCTGCCTGCAACTTGGACCTTGGCATGTGGCGATCGATCCAACTGTCGCTTTTGTTTATTACTACCTAGTTGGTTTGTGCCGCGCGCCATTGCGGCTTTACTGTGAACCAACTGCAGGGGAATAGTGCCCAGAAACCCTACTTAATTGTCCTCTTCTTCATAGTACCCAGAGAAACCCTACTTACTGATGCATTTCAAGTACCGCCAGTCATCCTAAAAAAATTAAATTCATCAACACACTGATTTCATCTTAAACCTAAATTCTCCATGGCACTGACTTAAATAAGTGGAGGCATATTGAGTAAGACAAACGTTCTGCATTGAGATTTGTGAGCCAACAGCGGCTTGGATTGGATGTCTTCTTATTGGGAACGGCTACGGTGCTAATTGTACAATAGTTAACACCGTCCTAACCAAGGGAAAAACTATTACTAGTTTGAATTACTAGTGATTTAGCTTAGATGTTGTATTGATTTTATAACAATCCGTAGTGATTTCGTTATTTTTAGTAGCGTTTTTTGCTAGTTATCACCGTACTAACCCGTATAAGGGTTAGCACCTAATCCCATTCCCTTCTTATTGTAAAACTATTAAAACCGATCTCTGATCTCTCTCTCTCCAATCTCAGTCAGGCAGGCTCCTTGATCTGATCCTTTACTACTTCAGCTCTAAATTTAAAATGCCTGTTCCCTAAACAAATCATATTGGTATTGGGTTGGACTCAAATAAATCATTGAATATATTATTTCCTTCACCTCTCAGCGGAAACGTGGGGGGTGGGGTAATGAACAATTTAATTATGCTACTCTTCTCTACTAGCTTTTAGTCGTAGCCGGTTGGACGGAATTTTATTAAACTTTTTAGTAACCTATATTTTAAAATTCTAAAAGATATAATAAAAAGACGGATTAAAAAGTCATATTTTCTCTAAAGTTCAAATGAAAGATATCAAAATTATTTTAATTTGTATTTTTTTAAAAATAATTTTACATGGAAAAAAAATTGTGGTACATCAACCCAACTTTTATAGATATGTAGTTATATTGAAGTCAAAAATAAAAAAAATTATAATTATTGAAAGAGCCAATACAAAGAAAGAAAAGACCAACAAAAAAAGAGAAAGAGTTTAGAGACCTAATAGGCGGTCGATCAATAATGTGGGAAAAAAAACCAACATCTACTAACCATTACTTTTCTATCATGGAAAGTAAAAAAGTCTTTAATGTCTCTATTTCACATGTTGGCTATGATCTTACTCTAATTCTGCAATTTAATCACTTAGAGGGTCCAAAAAGATTATAAAGTTAAATCTACTTTAATTAATATATTTGAAAACGAATCCACCAACAGTGTCATCAAACTCAAATAACTATTGTGTGTCATTGTAGTACAACACTATACCAAGACAATAATTAAAAAAATACAACAATGGTACATAAAAATCACATTTCAATGTTCTATAGCATTGTAGTATAATTACGTCCCATAAATACTATAATGTCAGTATTCTTGATAAGAAAACAAAGAAATATTTTTACACCACTAAATGACCGATTCAACAGAAAGCACAAGGAACAATAGTAATACCAAGATGTCTACCTAAACTTAACGAGCACTTCTACTATGCTATATAGCATCGGTGCTTTAATGTACAATTTAAAATTGTACCATAACATTAAATGTAATGACACTATTATGTCTTGTGAGGGAATATAGTAAAATTGATATAAATGTGTAGATTATATAAAATTTGATCTATCTGTAAAAAATGAGCTTTACGGACCAATTGAAAATAACAGGAAATTTTGTATAAAAGAGAGAGAGAGAGAGAGAGAGAGAGAAAATAATAGGAAATTGAATAGAGAAGAAATTGAATAAGACAAACGTTCCGCTTTGAAAATAGGGTTGGATGCGAGTTGCCCGCCGACCGCAGTGGAATATTCCTGAAACACAAATGAGATTTGCGAGCGAGCAGCGGCTTGGATACCTTCTTCTTGTAAACCCTTACCTACCTCTGATCTCTCTCTGTCTCTGTCTCTCTCCAAATCTCAGTTGAAGCTTGCTCCTTGATCTGATCTATTAGTACGTACAGCTCTCTCATGTTTACAAACCCTAAACGAAGTGAATACTATTTCCTTGACCTCTCGGCGACACGTGGGGTAATGACCAATTAATTATGTTATTATGTACACTCTTCTCTAGCTACTAATTAACTACCTCTCTATCCGTCATCGAGTATCGAGTTAGTGAGCATATATATGAGATCCGGAGAAAGAGGAAGCTAGGACCATCTCTGTCTGCCCTGCAAATATATGCAGAGACAACGTGCATGGACCTTTGCATGTGCGCATCGATCGACCTATCATTTTTGTTTACTACTACGTACGTAGGGTTTGCAGCGGCGGATCTAGGGCTTGGTCCAGCCCAGCCCTACTCCGGATTTAGAGTTATTACAATGCTTATAAATTTCTCGAAGTTGGGTATTCGTCCCAGTGATATTTAGAAGTCGGTCGAGTGTTATTTTATAATAGGATTTTGTGTAAGTAGGAAAATGGTCTAGATAAACATATCCAAACCACTATTCTAAATCTAACTTAGAAATTCTAGCCCGAATAGTTTTATTTTAGAAAAAATATCTAAATGTCTGAAACGTAAAAGACTAAGTATAAAGTTTCATTGAAATAAAAATTATAAATACTAATTATTAGCCAAACCATTCCTGCATTTTTAAATATTAGCCAATTTTTTTGTAATGCATCAAAATATTAGCTATTTTCTGTTATCGTTCATAATTTGTTAACTATTTTCTTATTTAAAATATTAAAGTTTTGGAATATTTGCCTCCATGTGTCTCTTCCAAGTCAGTATAATGTTGCCAAGTTAATAATACTAACAAAACTGATAATTGGAAGTTAATATTTGACTAGTATTTTTAAAGGGTTGGTTAATATTTATATATGCGAAAAATGTTTTAGTAATAATTAGTATTTATCCTAAAAAATCCCTCTAAACTACAGTCCATCCTTCCCTGTCAAATATGAGAGAAACTATGCTATTGGTATATATGGAAATTCTATTATTGATGGATGGATTTGCCAAATTAAAAGACCTTCTATTCACATTGAATTCTTGGAAACAAATTTTTCATAAAATTTGTGAGTTTCGATTTTGAGCACTTGAACGATGTAACACTTTGGTTTATGTGACCAAGTTGTTTGGAGTAAATTAAAATAATATATTGGGAAGTGTTCCCGAGACATGGAGTTTGATCCATGAAGATGAACTTATGTAAACTGTGTATTTACATAATGTTAAATAAAGGTTCATATTTCCTAGGTGGAGAAATATGAACAACCATAGGTATGTAAAACCTATGGGACGAGGCTAGTGGAAACTTGTGAATCAGGTCTATCTGGGCCGGAATGGTTCCAAATTAAATGCAAAGATTATGTTCAAAGTAAGTTGAACATAGTACGAAAGAGGATACCTCCGGAGTTTACATTTGGTTAATGCTTGTTTATCCACAAGCGACAAGGAATTCTGATTCCAACGATGTTGGTCAAGACGTGATAATTTGTTTATCATGCAGGTGATTTAGGACTTGATGTTTCCTATGCCATGGGGGCAAGGAAAATGAAGCTATGATTGATCCTTATAGGGATTTAATAAGCTTGCCAAATGGTGGTCATCATCAAGATAAGCATTAGGTCAGAATTGTTTATGGTATAAGTACACTATACCATTGGAAAATAATTTGACTATGATTATCAACGTGGAGATAGTTGACAGAACTGTGTATGGTATATATAGATATATATCATTGGAAAAAAATTTGGCATGAGAGCTCAATTGAGATGATCTTATTGAACTTAAAATCTGGATTACTTATGGCATATTTATGAAGTTTATAACATTGGAAAGTAATTAGACAATTGAATTAGAAATTCGTTTGAATTACTTGTCGTATATAATGTTACATAAATGAAATGTCATTAGTAAGTAAATAGATGGGATTTCCATTGCTGGAATGCATCTGAATTACTTATGACGTCTCAAGTTGCCTTGATCAATACCATTGGTAAGTAATTAGATGATATTTCAAATAAAATCTGAATTGTTTGTTGTATGCTAATCGTGTGAGATCATATCATTGGTAAACAATTAGATACATATAGTGGTTGGCAAGTTCAATAAGTAAAACCATGGAAAATAAATGGGATTATTCCATGATGTTTGGCAAAGGGTAGAATTGTGGGGGTGAAGAGCTAGCAATTATTTTGGCTACTATCTCAAGACCCTACAATGGGACGCAAACCTATCCATAAGACAAAAGTGGAAAGGTAAACGAAGTCATACTTGAAAGTATGAAGGTGTCCAATGAGAAAGTGAGAGTCCTTAAACCTTGTGGAGTTAACCCAGTCCAAGGGTATAATTTATGAGTAAACTCTAGCATATATTGACGTTATGTCAGAGAGCTAGAATATTTATTAATGTTGATCCACTCTTCCCAAAGAGATTATTTTGACCATATACATGAATGTATATGAACAACATTCCCCAAACCGGAAACGTTGGTTTCAACAACTATGGCGAAATAGTTGAAATGTGGGGGATAAATTGGGGAAAAGGGATGTGGAATATTACTTGGGTGATTTCAATTAAACTGATACTTAGAAGTTTTGCGTAAACCCTAAGCTAAGTCATAAATGTCACTACATTTAAAGAGAAACTTGTGAAGCTCAAGTACTCTAAGGTTAATGAAGTAGAGAGACTTCAACACCGTTGGCATGTGTTATGTTTATTGCAATGCAATAAAATCAAGGCAAACACACATGATGTGTAGTGAATCGAAAGAGACGAGTCTTTGGTGTATTATACCCAAAGGAGCTTACCAGATGAACCACAAGGTATAATCCATTGATGGATGTGGATTTATGGTTGATGGGGAGTAGTACCTTGGAAAACATCCAAGTTGACTAAATATATACCCACTCTAAGACTGGTTAAGTTTAATAGTCTAGCCCGCATAGACTACGTAATAAACGCACTTGTGCACTAAATGGTTATTGCAAGGGCTAGAAGTGTTATGTGGAAAAATCTCGTCGTAGAAACATAACATTATTGACTGGTTATTTCTAGTGAAGTTATTGGAGATGATCATATTAGATCAAATGATAACAAACGTGGGGCCCGCTTAGAAATTAATTAAATCATCAAAGGGAATAGACGTGGCCTAGGACAAATCATCATGCCAGTAACTCTACCTAAGCAGGATTGGCAAACCCAACCTCTAGGTTCAAGGAGCATACAAAGTTGTGAATGATGGTTCGCATTGTCAAATTATTCAATGTCCATTCTCAAGATGAGACAATGTCCAAAGTAAGGGTAAACCTAAATATGAAAGGTTTTTAATGGTTTCTAAGTTTGATACGTGGTGTGATCAAATAGTGTATTTTCCGAATACACGTTTAGAAATCACCTATGTGAGTGTGAAGTGGAGCCGCTTTAAGGAGAATAAAAGAAGGCCAGTTCTCTAAGCACTCATGAGACCAGGCGGTGTTCATGGCTAAAACGAACACAACAATGAGAACCAGTGTACGAATAAGAGTTAGTTGTGTGACATATGTTGTCTTAGTATACAAGTAAAACCGACAGCTCAAAGATATCACATCTACCGATTGATGAGTATACTCGATATATGTTCACTAAGAAAGGTTCAAAGGGACACCTACCTATTCCGATGCAACTAATTCTTAGTCGAGAATCACATGATTTTTCGCATAGTTTTAAAGTACAACATTCTCCATTCATGTGGGGGATTGTTGGGTTTTTTAGTGGTGTGAATGGAAATGAAAGGGGAAAGTTCCAAGAGAGTCTCTTGAAGTACCATGTTGGTAAGATGTGGGAAGGCATGGCCTCGAATTCGATCGATTTGATGTAATATGTGGTTAATTGGTTAAATTGGTTTGTGTAACCAAATGAGCCAAACCGAGTTGAACCAATTAGAACCGAACCGATATGGCGGTTGGAATAACCAAGATACACTTTCATATCACGTGGTATAATCTTGTATACTACCAAGTATTACCAAATGATATGAACTAGTGATAAATATCTCAATTTTGTTTTCCAAAATGGACATCATTTAAATTTGAAGAGCACAACTTATTTGATTTCTTTGTGAAAAAACTTAAAATTATGGCTTAAAATAAAAGAAATTAACCCGTTAATTGGAGAAAAATTAGTTATGTTCCACAAATAGTAAGTTTAGATTTATACATGATATTATGCATGATCGATCATGCATATAAACCTTATTATGCATGCTATCCGCTTCCCTTTTATCTGTGTGAAAACTCAAAAGTAGTTATAGCGAAAAAAAAGATTCATTGCTCTAAAGAGCAAAATAAATTAAGGAGCCAAAAGTTCAATTCTTTTGATATCCTTTTCTTTTTTGCTCTTGCGTTAGGACTACTCTTATTACCTTTAATAAATTCATCATATTATATATTAGTTATATTAATTCGCAAGTTTTGGTTTAAGGGGTTTGGGCATATGCGGGCGGGTCTTCCGCAAGTTTGGTGCGCCCCCAACCCCATTTCTTTCCCTTTTGTCGTTTGCCTGGCGATTGGGCAAGTTTCATCCCTTCCCTCTTGCCCTCCGTCGAATCCCTGGAGCCGAGAATCGAACAGCCAACACCAAACCAAACTGGTTCGGAGATGGATCGTGTTTCCCCATCTCCCAGTCGAGAATCGAAGAGCCAACACCAAACTTCTAATTGCCGATGGATTCCGATCGAGTTCTCTGACTTCCGTGGCCGCTGGCGAAGTTGGGTTCGGAGATGGGAAGTTGGGTTCGGAGATGGATCGTGTTTCCCCCTCTCCCAGCAAAGTCAACCAGATCACTATATGAAATTACCTTCATTCCCTTCGGTCTTACCCCTATCAATACCTCCCTCCTACCGATCCGGTCTCTTCCCCATTCTTTCCCTTCTTTCCCTTCGGTCTCACCCCTAAGAAAGTGACCACCTTCGTTCTCTCTCTTATTCGCACCACCGGATAAGCTCCCATTTGGTCTGAGGAGCTGCGATAGATTGGCGGTAACTCTATTCATCCATCTTTTGGCGGCTAGCCAAGCCAACTCCACCGGTCGACCGTCTTCCACCAGAGTTCTTCCAATCGATTCATCGAATCCCCATCAAGATATGCAAAGAAGAACGGAGGAAAGCAGCCGTAAGCTTCCTGCATGTGCTATTGTTGTCCAATTTTTTCCTCTTTAGTTTTTTGCTTTGATTATGATGTTGGGTTTTAAGATGAAAGGTTCCCAATTGGTGATTTCTTCTATGTTAATATTGCTGATGGCCATCTGAATGTATTTTGAACTTTAAATTCTCATGGGTTAGGGACAGACTCAAAGATTTGGATGAGTCGCATGTTCTGCTCAGTCACTTGATCAATTGACATTGCTTTCTTTCCTACTATTTGGATTCTTAAAAGGTATTGAAAATTGAATGTCCAGGTGGAGATAGGTTTTATGATGTCATTTAACATGTTACATAGTTATGTGGGTTTCTTTTAAAATGATTGATGGAATCATGTTTTAGTTTATTCGTTGCTTTGGCTTATGGGGTTCCTTTGGAGCTGAGCTTAAGAGAACTTTTGCATGCCAAGTCTAATTATGATGATCACCTTTTTGTTGTGTTTTGATGTTAAATTTTGAACTCTTTTCATTAGTTCGTCCACTAAAAAATGCCAAGTCTGCTCTTTCAAATCACAATTAAACTAATTTGCAAGTGCAAGCTCCACTACTTAACCTTAAAAATTAATAGGTCGGTTAGGATTTAAGGATTAATCTTTAAGACTAACGCTTGATACGCAACTCGACAATACGCTTGATACGTAATTTGTGATTCATGAATTCTTTATATGTGTCTGATTCCCTATTCATATGTCACAGGATGAGCAATTATCTGATTCCCTTGGTTTTGGCATGATATATGAATTGGAGATTTGAGTCGAGTGTCCCAATAGAACACCTATAGATGTGTTATCTCCCTCAACATCCTCTTTGGCGTTGTACGGGGTAAGAGGTAATCATCTAAATCCCTTTAAATCAACGGGACATATTATGTAGCTGGTCTGCTACTTGAGTTATGTATCAGATGGGGAATGGGCAACAAATGGGGAGTAACTTAAGTGTTTAAGTAGTTTGGGCAATCATCAAACATGCATATACTATGATAATTGCCTGTGAAGGGTTGGATTCCATGGGACAAATTATGTAGCTGGTCTGCTACTTGAGTTAAGTATCAGATGGGGAATGGGCAACAAATGGGGAGTAACTTAAGTGTTTAATTAGTTTGGGCAATCATCAAACATGCATACAATTATGTATTTCATGAGTTTTTATGGTTCCAAGCGAATCTCTTGATAATAGGTTATATCATGTACTCTGCTATTGGAGTCAGTTTAATGGTTACTGATGCTATGCTGCATCACTGCCAATGGTTATTGATTATATCATCTACTCTAGAAATGATTATCATGTATATACTAGAGGGAGGAGCATTTCTACTATGCTATATAGTATTGGTGCTTTAATGTACAACTTAAAGTTGTACCATAACATGAAATGTATAAGTTTAGATTGTACCATAAAAGAATTTGTATCATTATGTAAAGGTACAACTTTACAACTTGAAGTTGTACCATTACATAAAGGTACAAGTTCAAGTTGTACCATAAAAGAATTTGTACAAACAGTATAGGTATAATCTAAAGTTGTACCACAACGTTAAATGTACAATTTCAAGTTGTACCATAAAGGCAAAAACCTATAGCACCAATACTATATAGCATTGTAAAATTCCTCCCAGAGGGAGATACCTTTGTTCTGTTTGTTTCTCAGAATATTGGGGTCATTTAGTCAACATCAATAGATAATATGGTCATAGCAGAAAATTAATATACTTTGTCATATACAGAAATATTGACAACGTAAACAATGGTTTAATGATATAGGATAGAGTAGTTAATCTAAGTTTCATTGGGCAATTGCTTGCTGTGGAAATGCAAATTCATGGAGATAATGTGTTAGTTAGTTTCCTACTGGAATTGCATTCCGTTGGAGTGCAATTTCATGGATAATAATGTAGAAGTTAGTTTCCTACTCGAATTGGTCCATCTGCTGAAGTTCAAGATGGAATTCATAATCGATTACTGTTTAGGCAGAAGTTAGTTTCCTACTCGAATTGGTCCATCCACTGAAATTTAAGACCAATTTTTTGTTATCGTTATTACTGTTTAGGAAGAAGTTAGTTTCCTACTTGAATTGGTCCATCTCACCTTCCTCATAATCCTATTCAGGCTAATTAAAAGATTTTTTTATAAGTTATGTCTAGATTTAATAATAGTAATTTCCACCTCAAATATAACAATTCATTTATTCTCCCAATCAATTACTATTTAGGAAAAGTATGTGTCACCTTACCCCGTAATCCTATTATGAAACACAAATGAAACACTATAAATGCATCAAAAAGCTGCAACATCGTATTCAATTTTTAGTTTTAAAATATTCTTACCAGCCGCTGCATTGTGTAATATTGCTCTAACCGCTTCCTCCATCTTCTCAACAATGACCCGCAAAACAGGATTTGCAACTTCAAAGAAAATCCTGGAGATGACAACCGCTGATAGTCCAAAAGAACTGATCCATGAATTCTCTGAAAGTCCAGAGAAGCTCCTCCACCAACTCACTCTTCATGACACCAATGTGTTAATCAAAGCACGTCTGTTGCATTCATGGCGCTCCGTTAGTCCAAAAATCCCTGAATACATTTTCGACTTTGGAACGCTATGGGCTGATGAAACGGTAATTGTGTTTTATATTACTTTTTTCTCAACACGCTTTCATAATATTCACTGATTCTCTCCATGTTTCTTTCTCTTCTTTTCTTAGGGCATGCTTATACACGGTATTGGAAACCGAAATTTTGTTACTGAGTTTGAGAGGAAACTCTCTGTTGGGTCTGTCTACAAAATCCAAAAATTCATTGTCCAGGAAGCTAAACAATTCTACCGCCCATGTCGAAATAACTTATGCATCTTTATCACTCCCAGTACTTCGTTTGAAGATGTGACTGCTTCTTCTTTTGATTTCACTTCCAATAGCTTTGAGTTCTGTGATTTTGCATCATTGGAAGAACGTTCAGGCTCTCGCACACTATTAACAGGTGAGATTTACTGTCTTTGTATTTTTATAATTTAGGTTAAAGTTATTAACTATTTGCTTGGTGACAAACAGATGTTGTTGGTTGGCTCACTTCCATCAGTCAAGTTGACCACATAAGTACTTGCAATGGAGAAGCCACCTGTCAAAAATTAGTAATACAAAACGAGAGGTATTGTTTACGACCTATATAATTGGAATTCTATCATGTCTTTGAACTATATTCCAGTTTCTTAATTAGAGAATTACCGTGTACATTGTTTATTATGACTTTGTCACTGACACTAAAACTACCATATTATCACAAAAACAGAGGTATCTCCTTATCTATTTCTTTATGGGGAAAGCTAGCCTACAACCTTAGAGCTACGGAATTGATCACCGCAGCTGAAACCTCTCCTGTCATTATTGCCATAGGAGGGCTGACTATATCAACTTTTCGAGGTAATAGCACCTGCTTTACCAGTGAAAATTGCGTTATGAGTTGTTAGGATTGTTTGTATGAAATTCTAATTCAATTGTGCCATTGGATTATTAAAAATTAAATTTATAGGTGAGGTGGGAGCTTCAAGTACTTCTGCTACGCGCATAATTCTGAACCCCCAAACACTTGAATTCGGATACTTTAAGCCATATCCAAACGATTTTGGAGACCTTATAAAAGTGTATGTGTTTCCTCTCATATCATTGTATTCAAAATCTATAGTTTGGATTGCAATGTACTAACAAATTACTATTAGCAGTGCTTCTAATGCCTCGGATGGCATCTCTTCAATCCCCGTGGCTAATGAGACACCAGAAAAGAATGCCCAACGTGCTCTGGAATTGCAGCGGACAGTAAGCGACCTGATCAACATACGTGCAATCGGAGAATCAGCGGTACCTATTCTTCAAATCTTATTCTGTTGTCATTGCTACTATTTAGCAGTACAACATTAACTCATTTTGTTTACATTGTAGAATAAAGTTTATATTTGCAAAGCGACTGTTACTGCTGTGAAATCACCAAAAAATTGGGCATATCGAGGTTTCACAAAATGCTATCGCACGGTGACCGATTGCGGTGCAAACTATTGGTGCGAAAAAGACAATCGAATACCCGCTTCACAAACAAAGCAATGGTATTCTCAGCTCCCACGCAAATTTGTTTGTCTAACTATAAAGCAGCAATCTAATGTATGGTTTTTGTTTTATTTACTTCAGGTACCTAACTAGACTGATTGTGCAAGATGCCACAGACGAAGCAATATTCCTTCTCATAGGAGAAACTGCTGACAAACTGCTTCGGAGGAAATGTTCTGAAGTATATGATAGCTTTCCGCAGGGCACTGGTATATTGCCGCCGGATATTGAAACTCTTTATGGTCAAACTTTGGAATTTCACGTGAAAATTCCAAATAAAAATTACAAGGGCGGAGAGGGAGACTTCACAATAACGAACATTATTGGCCTTTACCAACGATCTGCCAAAACAGCTCACACAAAGCTTCTAACTTTGGAACCTCCAAAAAGGTATGGACCTTACCTTTTGACATGTTATTCATGTAGCTAAATAATTAATTATCCATAACAAAGTGAATTTTAACGGCCTCTACTATTTAGAGCACTGGATTTGAGCACAACTGGAGAAATGGAAAGCCCTCTACATACAGAGAATAAGGTTACTGAAGAAGGATCAAATTCAGGGTACCTAATATTTGTGTGATTTTTTAAAATAAAGTCAATTTACTTCCTTCACGTTTACATGTACTTACATCACAGTCATGTCATTGATCTACTATATTCACAGGAAGACTGATGTAGGGGAACAGTCGACAAGAAAAGGGGGCAGGTGATGAACACTTCCTTCCATTCCCTCTTCTTTGAATCTGTTACTTAGAATATTCAGCATTTTAAAATTAGTGATATATATCCTTTTTTGTATCAAATTTAGAAAAACTACCCAAACTGAACTTGGTGAAGACGCAAACAGCATGCTTGATGAAGAATCTTCCGATGATGAAAAAACTTTGTCTGAATTAAGGCCAAATGCAAGAGGCCTTTGCACCAATAATCTCTCTGAGGATATCAACATGGCTGGGTGTACAAACATGTAAGATAAGCTCATTGACTTATTGAGTACAACATGTACAATTATTCGAAATTGCCAAATATATTTCTCTTTATATTTGTAACACAGATGAAGCATGTCTAACTTTTAAATGACTTAAACAATATTCTCACTATTACTATTCATATTGAGTATCTGGATGCAGCATTGACCGTCCATTGGCACGAGTGAAGAAGGAGAAAATAACTTCTGCCTCCAGCTCAAAAAGAAAAGCAAGTGCTGTGGAAATCGTCGCCGATAAGAAGTCAAGGAAAAATTTCCAATCATCCACGAAGGTTAACAAGGGAAACAACTCTACCATTACTGACTTTGACATTGAGCAAGATTCAAGGTACATTGCAATGCTTTTACAGACCATTTTAGTTCTTTAATATTGCTTCCGGACACCCCGAACAATGTCATACATCTAAATAAATGTGCAGGAGGAATGATGATTGTTCAAATAAACAACAGAAGAGAAAACAGGTGAAATCAGCTCCGAGAAAAGCCACCAACAACAGGTGCTCATTGCTAATTCTTTTTCTGACAATATGAACAAATTTCTCATTTTATGTTCCTTTAGAAAAACTATATGATAAGAAAGTCAACTTAGAAGTTAATGACAGAAATGTTGAATCGGTTATTACTTGGTGTTAATAATCCATTCAGGCACACTCACGTTGATGCTGACAAAGTGATTATGGTCAATTCCGATGACGAGAAATCATTTTCTGACAATGAACAACCTCTGTTGAAACTGCTGGGAAACAAGAAAGCTGCAAAGAAGGACTCAGTAGACACCAAAGTGCGTCCAAAAGACACGAAATACAGGTTATAAGACTACCAACTGAACCATGTTTTAAATGACTTTTTCCATCATTATTATTTTATCTTAAATAAAACTAACTATATTGATCTTATGTTTTATTGTAGCATTAACTCACCCTTGGCCAGAGTTAAGAAGGAAAAACTTGAGGTAGCCTCTAAATCAACATCGACTACAACAAATGGCAATACCTCATATGCTGCTGCTGAAGTACTTGGGAAACGCAAGCGCCAACCATTGAAGAAATATGGTGCTTGAGAAGATCAGTTAGACTAGAAATACCATCGTTCAACTTCAACACATTTACTTTTTGGCCATCTAAATTAAGTTACTTTGTTTTCATCGAGATCATTTAGGGTATGGGTTGGATGGATACCTATTGTTTTAAGGACAAGTATTTGCAAGAACATGTTTTATGTTGTTATAGCTCATTCTTAATTTAGTTCTTATTGTAAGAACAAGTATTTGCAAGAACCACTTACTATTGACGCTATTACATTACACAGAATGGGTTGCACAAACAACCACATATCAAGTTATTTCACTTCAATAGTATGCATTACATACGAAATGTCAACACTAATTATACCTCTACCAAGAAACCGCCACCAAGAATCAACCGCCATCGACTCATTTCACTTTCAACAACACGTAAATCAAGTCGACGCCAATGTACCATGATCTATATACTTAACCGGTGGACTGGCGTTTAAGAACCGATCGCATGTCCTTGCCGTGCCTTTTTTTTACATATCTAATTTCATCTCTTTATACCCTCTTTTCTGGCAGATTCTTTCCCCATCCCTTCAACCCCTCTGTCGATCCCCTGGAGGTTGGGCAAGAGAGCTAGCCGGTGAAGACCCAAGCCACTCCGTCTAACCCTCTTCTCTTCCCGCCAGTTTTCTCCTCATCCCTTAATCCCCTATGTAGATCCCCCGGCAGTTGGGAAAGAGAGCTAGCCGGAGAAGAGCAAAGCCCCTCCGTCGAACCCTCTTCTTTTCCCGTCCCAATCTCATTGGTATACGGAAACAACTTCCAAACCATTTACTTTATTCATCATAGCATATGATTATTATCATATTATTCCCTGATTTATTATCAACGTGAATAAATTCAACCCTCAAAAGGAATACGCAATCAATAATCCTTGAGGAAAAGGGAAGCCATTAGCCATTCATAAAACTATACCGAATCACAAACTATAAATATAGAGAACCCATTTGTTTTGATATCGAAAGAAGTCAGACATCTAAGCTCCCCAACTTCAAAAGGCAGCAGAGAAGGTTAGGGAAGTCTGCACCTTGGAACCCACACAAATATATTCCCCAGTTCAATTTGATCACCAATCAATAATTCAGAACACTAACTCTTCTTTTATTTTTGCAGCCCACGACACACCAACAAACATAGATGGAGAGAGAAGAACGACCAGTGCCTCACCATCTGTCGTTGCCCAAGCGAAAGAATAAAGCAATAACCAGTGCACAAACTGGCGAATCAAAGCCACCGCCAAAACGGCGCAAAACAGGGATCGACAGACGATCCAAAAAGCTAGCAACCGCATCCTTCAATCCATTCAGACAACCTTTCTCAACCGATATCAATACGAACAACACGGCATCAACGATTGTTGGCATAAACCAATCTAAATTCCAGTCTGAGGTTGAAGAAACAACAGAACATACTTCACAAACACCTACTCACGCACAACAGGAGCAAAATCTGGCTGACATTCAACAACCACAGGAAACAAATACTATCTTGCAGAGCTTTGATAACAATATCTTGGATTTGGGATTACCAACCTTGGCTTGCACAAACTGTGGTGCACGATTCTGGCCACAAGAACAGCTCAACTGCAACAGGCCAACAAAGACACCGATTTACACATTGTGCTGCCAGCAAGGAAGGATACGATTACCACTTCTTAAGCCCACACCACCACTTTTAGATAAGCTACTTGATGTCAGCGGTGATTCAACGGCCACTCATTTTGGAAAACATCGACGTCAGTATAATGCAGCCTTTTCATTCACTTCGATGGGTGCTAAAGTTGATCAACGTCTGCTGAATTCTAGAGGTCCGTACTCGATGGTAATATGCGGCGAGAACTATCACCTTATTGGTTCTTTATTGCCACCTAATGGTGAAAGACCCAAATTTGCACAGTTATACCTCTTTGATCCCTCAACAGAAGTGGAAGATCGGATGGCTAACTTTTCGAGCAACGATGAAGTTTTGAAGGCAGAGATAGTTTCGGGGTTAATTGAGATGTTCAATGAAACAAATGAGTTGGTCAAAAGCTTCAGACGAGTTCGAGAACACCTACAAAATCCTGAAAACCAAAATTTGCGGCTCAGAATTGTTGGTACTCGAGTGAAAAATGGAGAGCAGTATGAACTACCTACTGGACAAGAGTTAGCTGGCTTAATCCCAGGAGATTTTCGGCCAGACAATAATGACAGAGACATCATTGTTCTCCACAGGAGCCAGGGTCTATGGCGTATAAATAGTCTCAATCCCAAATTCGATGCTCTACATTTTCCATTATTGTTTCCATATGGAGAAGACGGTTTCCACACAGGAATATGTTACAATGAACCAGCAAATAGACGGTCAAGAAAGAGGATGTGCATAACTCAACGAGAGTACTACTCCTTCCGTCTCCAACATCGTGACAACGAGGGATCTACACTTATGAGGGGTGGAAAAGTTCTGCAACATTATATCATAGATGCATTCTCCACAATAGAACAAAATCGCCTTATATTCCTTAGACAAAATCAGGAGCAACTACGCTCTGAAATCTTTCAAGGATTATATGATGCTTACAAAGCAGGCAAAGAGACAGGGAAAGATTTAGGAAGGATCATTTTGCCGGCTTCATATACAGGAGGGCCACGATATATGAAAAATTTATACCTCGATGCAATGGCGATTTGTCAACAATTCGGCAATCCTGATCTATTTATTACATTCACCTGCAATGCCCAGTGGCCAGAAATTGTACATGCTTTCGAAGAAACGGTTGGGAATCGAAGTGAAAACAAGACACAGATTGTTGCTCGAGTTTTCAGAATGAAGTTACGAGCCTTAAAAGAGCGGATTACCAAGCAAAAGTATTTCGGAAAAACGGTGGCAGGTAAATATATCTATCCTAAACTTTACACGCAATTACTAATTTCATTTAGTGGACATAAAGAAAAATGCATACACAATTGCTACAATAACTGAGTTCAAATCTTGAGTTCTTTGCAGTAACACTCTTCGTACAGAATCTCATATATATGCTACTAATAGAGACTATCAATTTCAACTTGATTACTTATTAGCATCATAATAATTTCATTCATGTGGTAGGCATCAAACCCAACTTCCCCTCACGTCTCACTGTCTGATTCCATATTTCATATTTACTTAGACTACTCTCTCCTTTCATACGCGAATACACATATAGAATTACTCTTTCATTAACGTCAACAATATTCATTCTCCAGTGAATCAAATAACAAACGCACCATAATATTGTATTTGCAGATCTTTATACAGTGGAATTCCAAAAGCGAGGACTACCGCATGTTCACATCCTGATATGGCTGGACGAACCAGATAAATTGAAAGACATTGCAGCCATTGATTCAGTAATAAGCAGTGACATACCTGATAGATCTATAGATCGAGAGGGATATGAAGCAGTAACACGATTCATGATGCATGGTCCATGTGGTCAATCAAACACTTCAGCACCTTGCATGGTAGATGGTCGATGTTCAAAGCACTTTCCCAAAGCTTTTAGCTCAGAGACAACATATTATCAGTTTGGATACATCGTCTACAGAAGGAGGGACACAGGAATACATGTCGAAAAGGGCAGAACAAAGCTTGACAACAGGTTTGTTGTGCCATACAATAGAGACCTTTTGGTATGGTTGCAGGCACACATCAATGTGGAAATTTGTCACAAAGGAAGGTTGATAAAATATCTTTTCAAATATCTTACAAAAGGACATGACAGATCGATGGTAGAAGCTACAAATAGAGCATCCTCATCATCAAATGAACAAGGTCCAATAGATGAAATTTCACAATATTTGGATTGTCGATATCTTTCAGCATATGAAGCAGCTTGGAGAATTTATGAATTCCCGATACACGAGAGGACGCCAGCTGTTCTCAGAATGTGTGTACATCTCCCCAATCAACAAACAGTTCCATATAATGAGGATGAACCACTAGAAAATGTGGTGCAACGTCGTGGAGTCAATCAAACTATGCTAACACAGTGGTTCAAGCTTAACAGAACCAATCCAGCAGCTCGAACGCTCACCTACCGAGAGATACCAAACAAGTTTGTATGGGATCAGAAACAAGCTGATTGGTTTCCAAGGAAGAGAGGATTTCAGATTGGAAGAATAGTCTCTGTTCCGCCGGGATCAGATGCTGTGTATTTGAGAATGCTGCTAACGAAAATACGAGGAGCATTAAGTTTTGAACATCTCAGGACAGTAGATGGTATCTGTTACCGCACATACAAGAAGGCATGCAATAAACTTGGCTTGCTATCCACGGATGAGGAATGGAAATTAGTACTAGAAGAAGTTTGTCAATGGGGCCAACCATCTTTAATAAGAACTACTTTTACTTCACTCCTCATGTTCTGTGAGATTACAGAACCACTTTCTCTGTTTGAGAAGTTTTGGGAACAGATGGCAGATGATATAGTATACCGAGCTCGACGAAACAACTCTTGCAGATACTTTGTCCCGCCATCACGTTCTTTGCAAAACTCAGTACTTCTAGAACTGCAAAGACTACTCAACTATTATTCTACTACTCTTCAGAACGTAGGCCTACCTACTCCACAGTTGGATGACTGCGACGTCCTGGACAATAGTCTTATTGCAGAGCAGCTTGACTATGACATTACCGAACAGAGAAGAAGAGCAGATACAAGTTGGGAGTCACTTAATGAAAATCAAAGATATGCATACGATGCCGTATTCGATTCTGCAAGCAATGAGAAAGGGTCTTTGTTCTTCTTATATGGACATGGAGGCACGGGAAAGACATTCCTATATGACACTCTTATTGCAAAGTTGAGAAGCATGAAAAAAATTGTCTTGGTGGTGGCTTCCTCGGGTATAGCTGCTACACTACTACCTGATGCAATTACAGCACATTCGAGATTTAAAATTCCACTTGAAATCGATAGAACTTCTACCTGCATGATTAAGAAGGGATCACATCTTGCTCAACTTATCAAAGAAGCAAGCCTCATAGTTTGGGATGAAGCTCCAATGACACATCGATTCTCATTCGAGGCAGTTGATAGAACTTTTTGCGACATCATGAACTGCCCATTAACTGGAGATGGTTATAAGCCTTTCGGCGGAAAGTGTGTTCTTCTTGGCGGTGATTTTAGACAGACATTGCCTGTTGTGGTGGAAGGTGGTCGTGAAGAGAGTATTGATTCCTCTCTAACAAGATCACATCTTTGGAAGCATTTCAAAGTTTTACCTTTGACAGTAAACATGCGGATCAACACCAACCACAACAACCTGCTGCCCATTTATGATGGAATGGATTTTGCAAGTTGGGTACTAGCTGTTGGAGATGGAAGAATCAAACGTACAACATTCAGCTCATCAGTTTATACAGATTGGATAAAAATACCAGATAAGTTCCTCATTCCACATATAGGCAACAAGATTCAGGCAATTACTGAAACTGTCTATACTGATTTTCGTTCTAACTATGGTAATCCAGACTACATTAAGAATCGAGCTATAGTAACACCGACAAACCGTACAGTTTCAGAGATAAATGCATATATGTTGGCTCAAATAAAGGGAAGAGACAAAATATACTATAGCTCAGATTCAATTGAAGATGACTCGCCAAACAGTATCAGACTGGAAGAAGAATATCCAACAGAGTTCTTGAATGGCTTATCCTTCAATGGTGTACCAGAACATGAAATACACTTGAAGGTATCAACTCCAGTCATCCTTCTTCGTAATTTGAATCCCGCTATCGGGTTGTGCAATGGGACGAGGATCATGATTACACATTTGGGAGATAATGTTATTCGAGGTGATATCATTGGAGGAAAGTATGACAAGAAAACAGTTGCGATACCGAGAATAGTGCTCAATGTTACTGAACATCGATGGCCATTTGTCTTGAAGAGAAGACAGTTTCCAGTCAGGGTGTGCTATGCAATGACAATCAACAAGAGTCAAGGCCAAACTCTTGATATAGTCGGGGTTTACTTGCCTAAGCCAGTGTTCAGTCATGGACAACTTTATGTAGCTGTCTCACGAGTTCGATCTGCAGATGGATTACATATACTAATTGACAATGATGCCGGGGTGCCACAAAGCTTCACAAGAAATATTGTATATGAAGAAACTTTTGCCGATATCAATGGAACAACACAACCACCCACAGGTAATCACCTAACTGTCGGCAATGAATTAATTGGGTCTCTATCAAAACAACTTTTGCTAACGCAGATACAGTTACTAACAAAACAAACTCTTCTTATTACAGGGGAAAGGGACTTTGATTGAAGATAGTTTGGAAATTAAATTTGGAACCAGTTACAATCTCAATCTCTCTTGCAACGTAAGAAAATATTCATGCTACTTCTTACCTTCACAATAACCAAAACCATCCAACAAGCTACTAACTCACCAATCAATATGAATTTCGCTGCAGTATATGTGAACAGATTTTGCAAGGTAATGGACCAGTGGAAAGCACAAAGGCAAGGAGAAGCAGATCACCAAGAAATATTCATTGATGTACTCTTAATAAGATAGTTACAAATTAATATTTACATGAACTGCTTCTACATATTATTCCAGTTCTGCATTCTTTGTTCTTTGTTCATAATATGTTCTTCGTCCAAGCTTATACAAACATGTGTTTTGATCGAAAATCATAAAAACAAACCTGCCTTCTTTGTTTAGTAAAACGACTGTGTTTTAGAAAAAGCCATATTTATCAATTAAAGTGAAATGGGCTTACATTTCTATTTAACAAACTTCCGTTGGCTAGCTACACGACAACTCCTAGGTTAGTGGGCTTAAGCTAAATTTGTGGCCTTGCTACTGATCAAAACTCAATTTAACATAATTAAGTAGACTTTTCGGATGGAAGTCTTTGTTTCTTATCATCTTCAATCAAAGATTTCCTTTGTAAAAACTAGAAATTGCGAACAATAAATATGTAAGATAGCAGGTGCAAATAAAGACGTGTGGCCCATCAGGATTAACACCTCTTCGTCTTCCGTATACGCGGAGTTTTTCTTATGGTTAATGGGTAAGTAGTCAGATAGAAGAAGATGGTGCAAATAAAATTACTGTGTACGTCACTGCCTGCAATGTGTTGCAATCTTTGTAACAATAACATACCATTGCTGTGTTCTTTAAACATATCACAATGTTAGGACTGTTGTTACAGATTTCATTCCCATACAAATTCATTTATATTCCGTGATATGAACATACCCGCCGCAACGCGCGGGCCATTTTTCTAGTATATATAAAGAGATCAAACTTTTATTATTACCAAGTCAATGCTGGAGAAACACTTACAGCTTAATGCAGGAAGGAAGAACATACTGCGTGAAAACACGCAACTCTAACACTACACTACGCAACAAGGAAGCCCAGAAAAAGCCCCAAACCCTAGAAGATGAAGATAATACAATAAAAATTGCTCTCTCCTAACTTTCTCAAGGCAGGCAGGCCAGTCCACGGGCAGAACCCTCGTGACTCTTATTCTTGCACCAAATCGGAAAATCCGTACCATGACCATCACTCTCTTGATAGGAGACAGCCGTTTATTAGTGAATTGGTAGATGATCACCAACGGGAGAATTGGCGGGGACGGCGGGGGAGAGCACGACGTCCGCCAGCTGCTGAAGGGCGGCGAGCGGTGGGCTGAGCCTGCAGCTTATCGCTGTGAATAGTCTTCTGGCGGATTAGGGTCTGGCCCGTGGGAGCGTTCCGGTTCAGGAAGTTGGTGTACCAGCAGGCCGAGCTCTTCGGGTAGCGGGTCAGCTGACCGTCGGTGTAGTCGATGTAGTAGAAACCGAACCGGACCGAGTAGCCGTCGTTCCACTCGTAGTTGTCCGCAAACGACCACGCGAAGAACCCCGACACGTTCACGTTGTAACCACTGCATGCACGTATATATTATATTCAAGTAAACACAACCAAGCTATGATCGAATTAGCTTGTCAATCATATATACATCGAAACTGAATTAATAATTATATGCGCAAGATGAAAACTGACATCATGGACTGGAGAACACTGTCAAGGTGGCTGTCATAGAAACTTATCCTAGTGTCGTCTTGTGTCGCTTCCTCGATTGATTGTGTAGGATCGTCCTCTTGAGAAAGTCCTGATGAATTGAATTATCAGAAACCCAGTTAAAATCAGCTTGATTAATTACCCTTCTCATGAGCTGTTTAATTAAACTACCAATTAATTAACGGACAAATTACCATTCTCGGTGATGTAAATATGAGGGTTTCTGTATGTATCTTTGGTGTAGTTCAAAAGATATTGGAGCCCTTGTGGGTATAGGTACTGCCACGACGTACCCAACTGCACAAATTTCATATCAAACAGTTTTTCATTATAATACTTCATAAACCCATGTAGTTTTATAAAATTCACTGACTGAATTTTGTTTTTTTTTTTTTTTTACCTCTGGTCCAATGAGTTCTCCATTGGCTCCAGTAGCTGATAACAAAGGAACCAACGAGATTTAGTAAAATGATAACAATGATACCAAACCGGAAGCATGCATATATATAACTGAATTACGTACCTGTAGTAATAGCGTGGGAATCCTTAAGATACTCGAGATGTTCAGGGTCGAAGTTGGGGTTGTTCATGGAGTAATAAGCTGTGTAGTAATTGAGTCCCAGAAAATCGTAGGAGCCTTTCAACGATCTCGACTCCTCCGACGTGAAGGTGGGCAGGCGAGATCCGACGAGGTCGATCATGTTCCTCGGGTAGTGACCATAGGTTATGGGATCCATGTACCTACATGTACGCGCCCCACGAATTAATTTAAAACGAATTGATTTACCGACTTCCTAATTTGGATCAGGTAGAGATTGCCATCCGTACGTAGGTCGGTCGAGAGAAATACTCACCACCCATACATAAAGTCTAGGGATCTTTGAGCTGCATCGATATCCGCTGTGGTATCGGTGTAAGGAACGAACCAGAAAGTAACAATGGTGATTCCTACTTCCCCTCCTTGACTTGCCTATGCAAAATACAAACAAGTACTATTGTAATTACAACAATATCCGATGAGGATTAATCAATTAGAGTGACTAGAGATTAATTACTTGAATTAGTGTATTTTTGCTATCAATATACCTTGTATTTTTGCTGGTACAATCGATAACCAGCAGCATGAGCAAGAAGGAGATTGTGGGTGACTATGTAAGGCTCGGTCCCTGAATTTCCGGCGAGACATGCATGGTTAACCCACGTGGAACAACGCCCCGGTGCCATCAGCCCTTCGTCGTAGCCTCTCATCACGTAAGTTACCGGTTCGTTCAGCGTTATCCATTTCGTTATCTTTCCACCGTACTCTTCGAATAACAAGTCGCAGTAATCTTCAAAGTCCTTCCTGCATAACACAACACAACACGAAACGATTGATCAGTATTAATTTGGACGTAACGGACTTAGATTTTACGTATTACGAAATCATCATGTAATTAATCGCTTACACTATGTCACGGCTTAAGAAGCCACCGTACTCGGCTTCAAGTGCCTGAGGGGTATCCCAATGCCATATTGTGACATAAGGCTCGATACCTAGATCAATTTAGGTAACCAAATTCATACAAATACGCATTATATTAGTATTTCATTAGTTTAATTATACCAATTTGATTTAAACTAGTTTTTTTTAGCAAGCCAAGTCTTCAGTACCGTTTTGTTTGAGCAAATCAATAACCCTGTGGTAAAAATCGATTCCTTCTCTGTTCACCCCTGTACTCCGCTTCCCGTCTGATACCAAATTATGACCAAATAAAAGTAGAAAAAATAATTAGCTTGGTAAACGTGAAAAAATAAAATCAGATTAATGGAAATAATGTAATATTAATAAATAAATAAAAAGCAATATATAGAACTACTTAATTAATTACATGGGATAACTCTAGACCAGGAAATGGAGAGCCTGTAAGCATCCACATTCATGTACTTCATCCTTTGTATATCCTCCTGTACGTATTAGTTAGTTTCATACGTACGTGTTATATACGGAAACCAAGCAAGAGTATAAATACACAAGAAATACGTATATGTATATATATATATATATGCATTGCGTACCACAAAGAGGTTATACATATCAATGGCCACATCTCCATTACTTCGATCAGCAATTCTTTCTGCACGTACGTACGTAGAATCATACGAAATCATCAGGTCCGCCATGCGCCTAGCTAACGACATACATACCAAGAAGAAGGATATTATAAGTACGGGAAGGAAAGAGGAATAAATAGATACCTGGGAATTGATGGGCGAATTTGTCCCATACGCTTGGGCCTCTGCAGCTCTGATTGGCGGCACCTTCCACCTTTCATTCACCAAACACAGTCAAGAAATCATTACCATGCCATGGAGACATATATAACACCACGTAATTAGCTAGAATAGATTAATAGTTAGCTAGCTAGCTTTAATTTACCTGGTAAGCAGATGTGGCGGTGCCAAAGACGAAGCCAGGAGGGAAATTGGCTCGGCCGTAGGGCAGGGTGTCCGAAGGGTTGTAGGTATAGCTTTGGCAAGGGTCGGGAAAGGCAGGATCCTCTGCCGTGGCACGAGCCAGCAGTAGGGTTATTGACACCAGGACAGGAAGAAATGACATCGTTGGAAACCCTCGAAAACGAGCCATGTCGTTGGGCCAAGCAAAAAAGGAAAGAAGGAGGATGGAGAACTATATTGAGCTCGAACTAGCTGAGTAGTAGTGTGGGTTTAAGACCTTTTGGAAACCTTCTTTATATAGATACCAGCAGGCCATAAGTGCCTTCTGCATAATATTACTGTTTGTTTTAATCAATTTCTTACTGATTTACAGTTAATACAGCTAGGCCAACATGGATATGTAGATTAGTAATATGTTAAAATGTTTTTTTAGTTTAGTTACTATCTGTTTTTATGGATCCAAATCTGACTAGTAAATTAAACAAGTGTTTACTACTGTAGTATTCTCATCGAGATCTACCCATTGAGGGTTTTTTTTTTTCCTAGTGATGAGTAGGTTCTCACTGAATATGTATTTTTTTTTTAAACTGAACTAGTTTTTTTGTTGTTGTGTAGATTAGTTTTGAAGAGGAACATATCTTAGATCGAGGTGAACATCCTCAGTGTTCAATAGGTATCATCTATTGATTTGAGGTGGCTGTCCTTAGGATTACAATTAAGTTACTCTTAACCTACTTTAGCATTTAGGAGATACGGTGAGCATGATTTTGAATTGAACGGCGAAATGTATGATGATATAATAGTGTGTGGTATGGTCTGGTTTTGTGAATATGCTAGGAAATTATTTATTGAGGAAGAGTAGTCAAAGACTATGTAATTTAGCATTTTCCCAGGCCCAAACTTAAATCATGAATGTTATTATCGAATTATATTGACACTCAGAGATGATAAAAAAAGATACATACATAGTTAGTTCTCAAAAAGGTTTTGGAAGAACACAAAAGTTCAGCAATAACAAGAGAAGAGGTACGAAATAATAGTAGAGGAATTTTACAATTCTATATAGCATTAGTGCTACAGGTTTTTGCCTTTGTGGTACAACTTGAAATTGTACCCTTAATGTTATGGTACAACTTCATATTGTACCTATACTTTTTGTACAAATTCTTTTATGGTACAATTTAAACTTGTACCTTATGTGATGGTACAACTTTAAGTTGTAAAGTTGTACCATAAAATAATGATACAAATTCATTTATGGTACAACCTAAACTTATACATTTAATGTTATGGTACAACTTCAAGTTGTACATTAAAGCACCAATGCTATATAGCATAGTAGAAGTGCTCATAATAGTATGATACACAACAAGCACATCAGAGTTCATGACAAGCTTGCACTAAATAATTTGGATTGACCCAAACTTGATCCAACACTTTAGGTTTACCCACCTTCTTCAATCTTCTCGAGTACTTCTTTCTAGCAACTCATGTGCCATTCTCATACATACATTCATTTCTATGTTAAAACTTTAGAGTGTTCCCTCGTAAAGTTGAGAAATTATGGTATCATTCGGTTACTTAAGCATGATCATTATCGTAGAGAATCGTTTGTTGTAATTCTTAGCCTAGATTTCTTCATGATTCGCTATGCTCGATTGAGATGATCATTAAGCATATCGCCCAAGTTACTTCCTAGATCGAGCAGTCATAACTTCGTATTCTGGAGAATGAGCTTTGACAAACCCATCAGGGAAAGAATGGAGAAAACAGAAGGACGACCCTTCTAATCTGAACCTCCTCAACTACAAATGGACACTAGTATGCCCATCTAATGGGGAGTATGTTTCTCGTGTCTTTTCTTTTATTATTTGTCATTTTTCTTCATTAATGGTATATGGTTGCTACTTCTCTTTACAATTGTTTTCTCTAGCTATTTATCATTCAAGAGTCTCCATTGATAGATAATGATCACATGTAATGTGAGTTTGGCCAAGATCAACAAGATACTATCAAGTAATAAGATTCGTGACTTTATCATTATCACCACTATGAAGATTATATTTTCAAACATTTCTGATTTAGATTGACCAATAGTTCCAATCTCAGAATTGGTTTTGTCTTTGGAGCATCTAAATCTTTGGTCTAGCGATATTGCAAGCATTTAATATTTGCTTCAACTTAATGACAAAGTTTTCACGTTTAGGATTCAAATTATCATCTATAATAATGATCGAATAGATTCAAAATTCAACTTACATCTCTATATGATGAATGTATAACCAAGATAACTTAGGAGTTGAGACTTTTGGTGGTAGTAGACTGTGAATTTGATGCCAGAATTGTCCCCAACCGAAAACACATTTTTAAGTAGAAAATTGGAGAAGTTGAGTTGGTGTTGGTTTTTCCAATATTTGTACAACTTTAAACGTATTTTCACTCTAATTACTTCCTCACGCCCTTGATCATTGAACCCCTGATGAATATTCTTCGGACAAGCTAGTGGTAACCTATTTTATGGAGATTCGGCCGAACCACAAAACCTTTGGGTTAGATTCATGGTGAAGAGCTGAGAGAATTAGTGAATTGCACATTTTTTGCCAAAATTCTCATCCAGGCCCTATTGCTCGAGTGATGACTGATTTTCCTTGAGTTATGTTACAGTAGACGGTCTTGGAGAAAGAACTGCTCTTGGTCTTGGGAATCGAATAAGAAGATCACCTCTCCTCGAAGATGGATGTATGCTCTAAATTTAAGGAAGGTCCTAGTTTGTTTGACTTCTCGTGCTATCTTTCATGTTCTCTATGCTTGGATGATTGGGGGTTACTACTTACTATGCCACTATTTAGGTACACATAATATTTTATTAAGTCTAAGGTGGAGTCACCCGGTTATAGGCATGAGAATTAGTATCCTTAATTATTATGCTATTTTGTGTGTTGCGTATGTGATTCACCTTCTTAATGCCTCTATGAGATGAGATCCGTACAAAAAGAATTCAAAGAAATTTGAGAGAGTCAATAACCAGCACGAATGGGTTCGAATAGTAAGATACGGGAGTTATAAGCAAAATACCAGTACTGGAGGTTAAAGTGATAAGCGAGACGGTTTTATAATTCTTGGTTATAACATGGTGTATGCTTAGGATGCGAGTCTTGCAATATATCATTTTGAAAGGAAAAAAGCCGTGTATCTTTATAACAAGTAGAAACTAGGCATATAATGCATGTATACTTAATTTTCGTAAAGTAGATCCTCTATTGGTCGACATCGGATGTCCATGCATGACTTCCTAACATATTATTTCTCGTACAAATAAAATGTTTTTCCTTGATGTTTGCTCTTACCAACGATCATGTTTTGAAAACAAACGTTGTCTATTGAAATCTGGCCTGGGTGCGAGCAACCCGCAGACCGCAGTGGAATATTCCTGACAACCCAAGTGAGATTGCGATTTGTAAAACCTACCACATATTTCTCTCTCTCTCTCTCTCCAAATCTCAGTTGAAGCTTGCTCCTTGACCTGATCTTTTAGTACGTTCAGCTCTCTCTATTTACAAACCCTAAACAACGTTATTTCCTTCACCTCTCAGCGACACGTGGGGTAATAACCAAATTAATTATGCTTTCTCTCACTGTCCATCATCGAGTATCGAGTTACTGAGTTCATGAGATCCGCAGAAAGAGGAGCATGCATGTCTGCCTGCAACTTGGACCTTTGCATGTGGTGATCCATCGACCTGTCACATTTTTATTTATTACTTACTACGTGCTTAGGTTTGTGCCGCTGCTGCAGCCTGAGTGATGTTCTTGGACCGGTATTAATTTGCTGCATCGATCATTCATCCAGTTGCCTTCTTTTGAGAAGCAGTCATGAGCCCATCCTGCTAACTACTGTGGAAGCTAGCTAGGGGTAATCGGAGGAGGGAAGGGAGCTAATGATGAGAATAAATGTTTATGTTCGGGCTTTTGGATTAGTGCGTTATGCGTAGGGTGTTTGGATTATTTGTGTATAGGCCGAGTCGGGTTAGTAAGATGTTAGGAGTCTTTGTTAGGTTGCCGAGTCGACTAGGGTAAGTTCCTTTTGGCTGTAGTTATGGTTACTTATTAGGTTTTCTCAACTATATAAATGTAGTTTCAGCGTAGTCTGATCAAACAATTAATATTAATTATTATTATATAACTAGATAATAAATTCCGTGCTACGCGACGGGTTTCAATTTGTAATTCGTTTATCCTGATAAAAATATAGAATAAGATCACGTCAAACGTATTGAAAGAGCTATCGGTGAGAATCTTAATCACCTACTTTGTGCCGATACAAATGGTCGTTCTATTCCATCACTGACACATTTATAACTTATAAATATTCCTTCCCCAAAAGATACAAAATCGAATCGAACTCATAAAGCCAAATTACAACAGTTAACCCACGTCCAATTCTATCTCTTGTGGTTTTGGCATCAATAGTTTTGCACTATCTGTAATAGTAGAAAAATTTGTTACAATAGAAGAGGGGGGAGGGTGGGAGAATTCCTCCATTCCTCCCAATCAACTACATTTAAACTTTAAGGTAAAAGTAAACTTCAGTGGCAATTGATAACGTGAGCAAAACACAAATCATTCATAATTCTTTTTTTATATTAAAAACCGTTCATGATTCCAACCAAATTTAGTATAATTCATCTCACTTTTAGCAAGAGAGTACAGAGAGCTTTCCAAAGCTTCTTATTATACCAGTATACTAAGCTACTGTCATAACCCTTATTGAACCAAAAAAGAGTATCTCATAATGTAGACGCATAACATAAAGCTTAGAACCGGTTCTTATACAGATTGAAAGCAATTCATAATGTCAATCTCCTTAGCTACTCCCTCTTCTTCTAAATTGATCGTTTATAAAATATCTTTTTTTTATATCCAGAAAAGACCCAACACCAAATTGAGAAGAATGAAATCCGGTGTATTGTACCTCCAACAAACAATCTTTTTAGGCTTCTTCCTTCCTGTCTATTCCAGTTTAACCTCTATGGATCCAATTTCTTAAAATGGCTCGATTCATCTAAAAGGGTTAGGCTTCATCCAATAAAAGAAACTGGTTCAACCCCATCTTCTGTGGACTCTCCCCTTCTAATATGTCAAATTCGTTGTATGAAACTGAAACATATTCTAGTGACTCTAAAGAAAGTCATCATGGAACTTGGACCTTATATGAACCTTAGAACTGGTTCTACTCTAAGCTGAAATAAACCCATCTTCTTCTTT